CCAAAGCAAGAGATTTGATCGTAAGGAATTCAAGACATAAAACTGACTTCGTATGGATGTTTATCATGTTTGGTGCTATAAATAATATTCATTCATTTCCGGTTCTTCTTATTTTCTTATCATGTTTGATTCTAAACACTCTTTATAGAAGTTTTCTTTATTTATGTTCCTCAGTTAAGTATTTAAATTATACCATATTCATATTGAGTTTTCTTTTCCAGGTACGTTTGATACAGTACATTATAATTTATATACTACAATATATATCAACAAAACAACAAAATAATCTATATTTACTAAAACTTTATTACAATACATTTCTTAAAATACAAAATCCCGCACGTACGTGCGGGTCATGATCTAGTATATATATATAGGAAGAGTAGGGAAGTAAAATAAAAAGCTTTAATGTTTTAAAACTAATATTTGTACTCAACAATCTAATTTAGATCAATGTAAATTATTTTCTAATTAATCTAATTTAATTTTCCATATATTTGTGGTTAATCAATTTTTTGGTGAGCCTTAAGTTATATATGTAATTTTTGTTTATGTAAAAAAAGTGGCCGTGCATAGCACGGGGTGAAATACTAGTTTATGATATGATTCTGAATCATTGTCTAAATATTTTAATCGATGTAGAACGTTGAACACACATTTTCGTCAATTGGATAATATATGTCCGTTTTTAAAATTTCGAATCACATTATATGCAATTTTTTTTACTTTATGTATTATATGATGATTCAAAACAGTTAAAAACAAATCAAACAAAGATGATAGGAGAATCATAATTATAAATCTTAATCAAATCTTCTAAATATCTAAATTATTAAATATGGAATATCCGGTGTATGAGTTGGGTTAAATATAACCCGACCCAACAAATTTTTTTGTGAAAGAATTTTAAAAACGAATCGGATATCCGATATACCTGGCAGCATTTTTATCCATCCGTCACTAAAGTGTTGCAAAAATAATAGTATAGATTGATTAATTCCGTGGCAACAAATGAAAGCCAATCCGGTCTCAAGACACGAGCTGACGTGGCCAAACACGAGCTGTCGTCTCTCTATCTCTCACTTCTCCTTCAACTGGTGATGGCTGCTCTCAGGCTACCCACTCAGCTTGTTACACGTGGCACACTCAATCACCATAATTCCTCTCCTTCCCCAGCCACTACTAGATAAACAAACTAAATAAAGGCTTTCTCATTTATCTCTGATTGTGTTACAAAGAGAGTTTATATACAAATCATAATGAGACTAAACTGTATAATTAATCTAACATAACCGGATAAAGGAAACCGGTAATGTAGTATACTGTATATATCTAATAGCCCCCTCAAGATGGAGTCTCATAAAGGTTTAGGAGTCCCATCTTGAATATCAAATAAGAGAACTGAGTAGGATACAAAGGTTTAGTAAGAGGATCTGCCAGTTGATGTTCAGTATGAACGTGCATCGTCTTCAAGAAACTAGATTGCACATTTTCTCTGACTAAATGGCAGTCATTCTCCACATGTTTGCTTTGCTCATGGAAGACTGCATTCTTTGCAATGTGTAGAGCTGATGTGTTATCACAATAAAGCAATGCAGTAATAGGAGAAAGGAGAGGTAAATCCTTCATAATCTTGGCTATCCAAACGAGTTCCTTGGTACCATAAGACATGGCCCTATATTCTGCTTCTGCAGAGCTTTGAGAACAGACCCGTTGCTTTTTAGATTTTCAAGAAACAAGAGCATCACCAATGAACATGCAATAACCAGAAACTGATCTTCTTGAATCATGATCAGTGTTCCAATCGGAGTCAGTAAAACCTTTAAGAGTTAGATCAGGATCTGTTGAATAAAATAAACCCTTCCCAATAGTGCCTTTCAGATACCTTAGGACTATGTGAGCAACCAATAAGTGAACTTGTCTAGGAGCAGAAGAGAATTGGCAAAGTTTACCTACATCAAAGGTTATATCAGGTCTGGTAGTGCAGAGGTATAACAGCTTCCCAATAAGTCTCCTATAAATTTCTGCATCATGTAACAATGGAGTATCTTCTTTATGTAGAGAATGATTAGGCTCCATTGGTATTGAAGACGGCTTGTTCCCAAGAAATCCTGTGTCTGAAAGTAACTCTAACACATATTTCCTTTGGCAAATAGAGATTCCTGCAGAAGATCTAGCAATCTCCAGGCCAAGAAAATACTGTGGTTCACCAATATTTCTGAGTTAAAAAGCAGCTTCAAGTTGAGATACCAGCATAGGAACAACATCTCCACTGTTACTTGCAATGATTATATCATCAACGTATACCAGAATAACAATGAAGACACCATCAATGAATCTGGTAAAAAGAGTATGATCACTGTGTGTTGTCTGAAAACCCAAAGCAATAACAGTAGATGAAAATTTCAGAAACCATTGCCTAGACGCCTGCTTTAGGCCATAAATGGATTTCTGTAAACGACAGACCATTTTATCTTCAGTTTTCAAATATGCAGGAACTTCATAACCAGGAGGCAACTCCATGTAGATCTCCTTATCTAAATCCCCATTTAAGAATGCATTTGACACATCTAACTGAGTGAGGAACCAGTTAAGTTTTGCAGCAATTCCTAACAAGATCTTCACAGTGGTAAGCTTAGCAACTGGGGAAAAAGTGTCTTTGAAATCAAGTCCTGCCTGTGTATATCTTTTAGCTACCAATCTAGCTTTGTATCTCTCCACAGTACCATCAGAATTATGTTTGATTTTGAAGACATATTTGCAACCAATAGCCTTCTTACCTGATGGTAATGGACAAATCAACCAAGTACCAGTTCTTTCCATAGCCCCAAGCTCCGCACCAATGGCATCACACCACTCTTGCATTTTCTTAGCCTCAAAATAAGTACGGGGTTCAGTAGTAAGAGTAATATTTTGAATGAAAGAGCAGAAAAAAACGCTTAATTTATTATAAGAGAGAAAGTTAGATATAGGATAAGGAGTAGTAAAAGAAGTATTATTCATATAATAGTCATGCAAATGTGCTGGGATTTTGGTAGGTCTGCGAGAATCTAGTGCCAAAGGCAAAGGATTCTCAGAAGATGACACATCAGAATGTGGAGGTGCATCAGAAGATGAATGTGCAGAAGGCAAAGATTTATCAGGAGGTGCAGTGAAATAAATATGAGGAAAGAAGGTCTGTGTATCTTCTGTCTGTGTAGAAGATAGAAACAGGAAAAATTCCTCATGAAAAATAACATGCCTGAAAATAGAAATGACATTGCTCTCCAAGTCCAAGACCTTGTAACCTTTAAAACTTGATGGATACCCTAAGAAGACACATGCCTTGGCTCTAGGTTGAAACTTTTGCCTTTGCTTAGGAGAGGTGGACACATAACATAAGCAACCAAAAGCTCTAAGCTGGCTGTAATCAGGCTTTTGACTAGTGAGAATCTTATAAGGAGTTGCATTAGATAAGACTGGGGTGGGTAATCTATTAATAACAAATACTGCTGTAAGTATACAATCCCCCCCCCCCCCCCCAAATACTCTAAAGGAACCTGAGATTGAAACATTAAAGCCCTAGCAACATTTAAGATGTGTTGGTGTTTCCTTTCTACTACAGAATTCTGTTGAGGAGTTTCTGGACATGAATGGTAAGCAACTATGCCCTTATCTAGATAAAGATCTGTGAATTTTAGTTCAGGAGCATTGTCGGATGTAACAGATTTTACTTTAGTAGCATACTGAGTTTCAATCATTTTCAAGAAATCAGGAAACACAAACAAGACATCAGACTTTGCTTTTAAAATATATATCCAAGTTGCTCTACTATGATCATCCACTATAGTTAAAAAGTATTTAAATCCATCATGAGTTTCTTTTGAAAAAGGACCCCAAGTGTCTATATGCAAAAGATCAAAAGAAGAAGAACATATGTTTTGATTTGCATTAAAAGGTAAATGTTTTTGTTTTGCTAAAGGACAAATTGAGCAATGATGAATCTTATTTTTATTTATAGGTTTTGTTAAAGACAGTACATTAGTGAGCACATCAATTCTAGATTGAGATGGGTGCCCTAAATGAGTATGCCATATATGAGAATCTACTGAAACAGCAGAACAAGTTGGAATAAGACTACCTGAAACTTCAAAAGTTGAATGATGTTGACTAGACTCTAGAATATAAAGATTTGAGACTTGACTACCCTTTCCAAGCATCAATTCCCGAGTAAGATCCCGAATGAAACAGGAAGTTGCAGTAAAACTGACTATTGAATTCAAATGTTTAGTTAACATGCTAACACTCAAGAGATTAAATCGAAAAATAGGAATAAACAAAACATCATGCAAAAGAATGTTCTCAGACAATTGAATTGATCATATTCCGACAATACTCACAGTAGTTCTATTTGGCGAATTCACATAGGTATTAACTATATCCTGGAAGCCTAGAAACATAGTCCTAGAAATAGACACATGATGAGTAGCCCCGAAATCTATTACCCATGAACTTGGAGAGATATCAGTTTCAGAGTGTTTTGAAGTAAGCATGTCATAATAAGTATTTGGATAAAGTGTTAGAAATGTACCATATATCTGTGAAATACTTGGTACGGAAGTTGAAGTAGAAGCTTGAGAAACCGCAAGTGTAGGTGTGATACTAGAGGTGTGAATCTTTGAACTAAAGTAGGAAATGATCTCTTGGATTTGATCTGTTGTAAGGTTCTCCCCCAAACTCTCTGAACCTTTGAGATTTGAATTAGTAATACCATGCAGAGAAGTCATGTTTGCACTAGGAGTTGTAGGTGGATTCAACTTCTGTAAAACAGTAGTAGGTGTAGAACTAGAAGCAGGAACATGAGTATTAGGTGGATTAAATTTCTTATTTCTTGTCCAGCCTGGTGGATATCCATTGAATTTATAGCATCGCTCCTTAAGATGTCCTACAGCTCCACAATAAGTGCATATATGTCGAGGTCTCTGTTGATGATTCATGGCATTAATACTTCCCTCTGTGACCATAGAGGAATCATTGATTGCAAATTGAATGCAGAAGGTGCAACATAGCCTTTTGTAGAAGATCCCACAGTTCTCTGACTCTCATCTTGATCCAACATGTTGTATATATCACTTAAACTCGATCTGTTCTTCTTGTTGATGATTTGACCACGAATGTTGGCATAAGAGTCATTCAAACCCATGAGAAATTGTATGATACGGCTTGTTTCTGCATCTTCCAGTAACTCTTCAACTTTACCACAATTGCATTTGCAGATTTTCTGAGATTTAGTATTTGCTAAGCGCTGCCACAGAGTCTTCATCTTGGTATAATAAATAGGTAGATAAATCCATCGAACCTTGACGTAATCTGAGAATGTCCTGTTCCAATTGATACTTGCGAGGTAAATTACTGATGTGAAAACGCTTCAACAAATCAGTCCAGATTTCCGCAGCATCGTTGAAATAGAGAATATTGTCATAGATTTCTTGGTTAACCACATTAAGAAGCCAAGATTTAACCATACTATTGCAACGATTCCAGAGTTTGTAAATCGATTCAGATTCATCAGGTCTAGGTAGAGATCCGTCAATAAAACTCCACTTGTTCTTAGATTCCAAAGCTATAGTCATCGCAACACACCAACTGTTGTAATTAGATCCATCTAGGTTGTGAGAAACGAGAGTTAAACCTGGATGATCCGAAACATAAAGATAAAATGGACTGTGAGAGTTGTCGAAGGATCCAGATCCTAAAGAAATCTTCGCAGCTGAATCACGAGCTATGTAAGTTCCAGAGCTTCGCTGATTGACCGGAATAGCTCAAATTTCATCGCGATTCGGAGAAGGAGCTGATCGGGAAGCAATCAGAGTTTCTGGATCCGGAGAAGAAGCTCGATTTCTGGTTTTTACACCTTTCTTCGCCATTAGAGAACTAAATAAATAAATTAAATAAAGGCTTTCTCATTTATCTCTGATTGTGTTACAAAGAGAGTTTATATACAAATCATAATGAGACTAAACCGTATAATTAATCTAACATAACCGGATAAAGGGAACGGTAATGTGATATACTGTATATATCTAATAGCCACCGCCGCTTCCTCCGGACGTCTCTCTTGGCGACGTTCTCTCATACCGGTAAATTCAATCCCGCTCTTCCCATCTTTCTCATCCTCATCCCTTTAACCGTGAACGATCAATAGTAGTTCCGGTTACATGCAGTGCTGCAGCAGTTAATCTTTCTCCGGGGACACCAGTCCGACCCACGAGCATCTTGGTGGTTGGAGCCACTGGAACTTTGGGAAGACAAATCGTCCGGCGAGCTTTAGATGAGGGTTATGATGTCAGGTGTTTGGTCAGACCAAGACCAGCTCCCGCCGATTTCCTCCGTGATTGGGGCGCCACCGTCGTCAATGTACGTATTCACATCTTGTTTTTTAAGTTTACAAAAGTCTTGACCAAGAGAGAACTAAACCGGAGTTTTGTGTCGTGTAGGCGGATCTTAGTAAACCGGAGACAATTCCGGCGACTTTGGTCGGAATTCACACTGTCATTGATTGTGCCACGGGACGTCCTGAAGAACCCCATCAAGACGGTAAGGTTCTAAATGGTTAAAGATTCAATTTTGATTTGTAAATTTTAGCCTAGCGAGACTTATTAAAAGTTGGACTGGCTTTGTGTGAGTGTTGGATTCAGTGTTCCAATGTGATTGAAAGTTATATGTGTTCGGTTTAGGTAGATTGGGAAGGAAAAGTTGCTCTGATACAATGTGCAAAGGCTATGGGGATTCAGAAATACGTCTTTTACTCAATCCACAATTGCGATAAGCATCCCGAGGTTCCTCTCATGGAGATTAAGTATTGTACTGAGAAGTTTCTTCAGGAATCTGGTTTAAACCACATCACCATCCGGTTATGCGGTTTCATGCAAGTAAGACCCATTCCCCTGAACTTATGCATCTAGTTTTCCTTGACCGTTGAGGAAATTGAGTTCATGAGGTTGAATGTGGTAATGGCTGATTGTTGTCTAATCCAGAGTTTACTATGTCTGTGCAGGGTCTTATTGGTCAATATGCAGTTCCAATTTTGGAGGAAAAATCGGTTTGGGGAACAGATGCACCAACTCGTGTTGCTTACATGGACACACAGGTGAGTAAACAGATATAGTCATCCCACTAGCAACATTCTCACTTCCCAAATTTCGAAAGTCGATTGTTCAATGCTGAACTGGAGCAACAAATTTGCTACATCAAATTGCTCAAAGGAGTAAACAAGAAACTCCAATCTCAGTAGAACACAAAAGAAATGTTGATTCAAAAACATTACCAGTTGTTGTACATGATGATACAGTGGTCTTGATGAGTAGGATGGTCTCAGGAGACTCTGCAAGCAACCTAATTCACCAGCAAAAAACTAAATTATCACCAACTCAACTCAAAATCACAATTCACAAACACTAAACCAGAAAATAAAAACCCCAAGCTAAAAAAGTTAATGAAAAAAAAAAGACTATCAACAGCATAAAAAAGTACCACTGCAACAAACACCAAACATGTTACATGAAAAATGAAGTGTGCGAGTACAGTCATAAGGATATATATACCGACTAATATACCGGCCGTGAGATGTAAAAGGCACAAATAAGCATCCATGATCGCTTGTTGCCCAATCATTACAATGGATACCTTAGCAGCACCCTTGTATACAAGAAACTTCCGGAAGTTAGTATTTTTTATTCATTCTGTACAAGAATAAAAATATCAGACCATCTGGTTTACATCAGTATCTTACAGATTGTGTGTTACCGTGCTCCATTTGCCGGATCAACAAAAGAACCTGGAGGAAAGAGATCTAAATGCAATAGAAAGTTAAGGAACACGCTAAATTTGCACAAGTGCTCGGCATTCTGTTATGAAAGGGTAAGACTTTTGAGTGGAGACAAAAGTGACCATCAGTGTATAGTTCACAGCTTTGTTATAGTAGACTTCGGCATTTACAGAAGTTGCATTCAGTAACAAAGGGGAAAAACAATCTCCGTCATCGCCTACCCCAGGACTTTCCATCAATCCTTCCATGTGATAATAATTTTTGTCTCCATCTACCGAAATATGGAAAAGTCTTTCAACGTTCGATTAAATGTGACAATGGAGACAAATAATACACCAAGATCACCTCGATGTTTAAAGTTAGAATGCATACTATTTTCACCAGAAGCCACGCGGGATACTTGAGCTGCTATTTCGATGTTACAGTGCTTCTCCATTTCATTTACTGGAGCTGAAATACAAGAGTATTGAAGATCAGAGTCGCTGAAAAGTAAACCGTACCGGAAAAAATAGGATACTGCTTACAAAGTTTCCGTTTCAGTAATCTGTCTCTTGGAGATTCTTGAAACACTTGAGAGGAGAAAATTCCAAGCTGTACAACAACAGAAAGTTGACACTAGTAAGCTCTTGGAACATTTTAACACATCAAACAAGCCATCAGCAGAAGAAAGCACTATTGTTGCCTAAAGTGGGTGAAACAAGAGTCTTAAGGACTACCAGATGATAGGGATTTGAGAGAAGATTATTGTCTTCTTGCCCTGAATCACTCTCCTTGCCGCTGTTTAGGTCAATTGATGTACAGACCTTGGAGTTAAGACTCAATAATAAATCTTAAAAGCAGTTAAATATCAATAGTTAGTACCTGTTAGCCACAAGGCGGAGTTGTCTAAAGGGCCATATATATACACCTTCCAGATTTATTTGGGCACCACCCACATTTTGTTCATTGTCAAATACGTCATGGAAAACAACTACACCCTGTTTCATTAACGTTGTTAGAAGTTCAAATATTGTGTGCTACAAGATCAAGGGCGATCCTATCATACAGAGTTTAGAAGCTGAAGTGTTCACCTGAACATAGTGCACACCAGTTATCTTTGTAGGAGCTGCCACTAACTCAACCACAGAATTACCATTTTCTTTTTGAAAGTCTTGAAACTTCGAAGAGCTATTGACGGAATTCAGAAACTTCCAAGTTCCTGAAAATACCCGCTTTACATTCGATAAGTAGTCTAAAACACTAAGCAACAGACATATACCCACAACATCGTACACAATCCTGAAGAGGCAAGACTTAAAAACAAATGAAGAAGGACATGCCACAAACCTCTATATGTTCCTGTTATATTCCATGCAGAAAACGGTCCTACTTCAGCTTCTTGTTTCCTACCAAAGAACCACTGCAAGATCACAAAGGCCTGACGTATTAAACCATAACTCAAACATTGCCTGGTCAGTCTAACGTAGATGAGTTCACTTTGCACAGTCTTGCTATATAATTCACTAGCGATACAAACTCAAACTGTAAATGTCATAGCATTCACCGGCAGAACAAAGCTTGAATTTCCGATGAGCTCAATCGAGCTAAATTAGATAGTATATACAAATTCAGCTTGCTCAATCAAATGAAAAGATGAAACTTAGACCAGAGCTACTCTACTCCTAGATTTTCATTCAATATGGTCACTGTCGTTATATCATTATACTCTGATCAGCTCTCAAAGAGTAGAAAATCTCAGATTTAGAAAAGTCATCACTTGTGACGAGTTATCTATCGTTCAGCCAATCACAAATCAATAAAACACATTTGACAGCAAACTGGTCGGATTCTTAGCTGGGAAATTCAAGTACATCATAATTACGAACAAAAGCATAAAAATTTGTTTCTGGGAAACATCGAAATGAAGAAACTTTCGAAAAAAAAAAAAAACACAAACCTCGTCACTCCATGATCGAGATTTCTCCCTAATAGGTCTCAGTCCCAGCGCTTGTTGCGAAATCGCCAACCAAATCGATAACCAGAAGATAACATGCCACTCGAACCCTAATCCCAAATTTTCCCGCTTCTTCATATCACTCACAACCCCCAAAAATCCCTCCTTTATGACTTAATCCACAACAAAAAGAAATACAAAATCCGACTGGATCAGAACTGATTCGAGTCTAGCTCCAAAACCCACATCACTGAAGAAAGAAAGAGGTTTGCTTCAAATGAAGTCAAAACAAACTAGGTTTTGGTTTTGTTTTATGCAAGAAAACCCAAAAGACAGCATAAGATTGGTAGCTGTATCAGACAGCAGATAGAAAGATGATTACAGACAGATAAACAACAACAACTTTTTTTTTTTTTTTTTTTTGGGCAACAACAACAACAACCCTAAAGAGCAATTTGTTATAAAAAAAAAAAAAAAAACTCCAATTGATGAATTTGGGCAAATTTGTTTCTTGCGGTCGTTGAAGCTTCTCAATCAAACGTACTCTCTCAATTGTTGAACAAGTCGAAACTTCTTTTGGTCTCTGATTTTTTTATTTTAATATATTAGCTTTTTCTGTTATAAACGAAGGGTTTTAATTGAGAAATTTGTTAGTTGAAGTTTCATAATCTCAGCTCTTTTCTTTACGCCTTAAAACTTCTTTTTTCCTCAAAAAAGATTTGTACCAATGTTTTACGTTTTTTTTTTGGATTAAAACATAAGTAGAAATTTTATTTTCGATGTCACAGTTAAGGAACGATCATCAAATATTAATTAGATCCTTCACCCTAATTTCCCATTATAGAAAGTAAAATTCTTCTAATATTGTCCAACAAGTTGAGCTTTTAAAAGTAGAAGAGAAAGTGTGTAAAATTTTACTAATTTGTCATTAGGAGAAGAAATTGATTCATTCTTCTACTAATAGTTGGGCTTTAAAAGTAGAGGAGAAAATGTGTAGCGCCTCTCTTACAACATACTCGATCCATTTAAAAAAACCCGCTAAAACTTTAATATTATATTATTCGAAAATATTTATCATTTTATAAATTAAAATTTTAAAATAAAACAATATGTAACTTAAGTTTAAATGATGCTGTAAAAAATAAAATAAATTTTTTAAATAATAATAAATACTAAAGGATTTGAATTTTTATATTTGATGGCTAAAGAATCTGAGTGAACAATGTTTGTTTGTGAGAAAGAAAGTGAAAAATTAAAGTTAGATAGCCGTTAAGTCCATTGCATGTCGAGACATGTTAAAAAGAAGACAGGAGCAAAACCAAAACGCTTCTACTTAATTGCATTTCTCTAGGTAATCGATGCACAGCCAAAAAAAGCTTGACCTAACGGCTATGTTTTCTCTACTTTCACCATAAATAAACGCCTCTTGAAGTTGCAAACACACAATCAAAGAGAGTTAGTAAGAAGTTGGGGTTTGATTAACGTTTTGGTTCGGAGATGGGTTTGGTCATGAGGTTTGATCTTTACCTTATGTTTGTGATGTTGATGGGTTTGGGGTTTACGATATCAAATGGATACAAATTCTATGTTGGTGGGAAAGATGGTTGGGTCCCTACTCCGATCCTTCCGAAGATTATTCTCATTGGTCTCACCGAAACCGGTTTCAAGTCAACGACACTCTTCGTAAGTCTCCTTCCTCTTCTCTTTCTATATAACTATCTATACAATGTGTCAATATTAATGCCTTATAATTTTGCATTTTTACAAGATTTTAAGTACGGGAAGGGAAAAGATTCAGTGTTGGAGGTGAGGGAACAAGAGTACAACACATGCAACACGACAACCCCCCCCCTGACTTCCCTCCCAGACGGAGACTCTCTCTTTCTACTTAGCCACTCCGGTTCCTTCTTTTTCATTAGTGGCAACTCTCAAAACTGTCTCTTGGAGATTCTTGAAACACTTGAGAGGAGAAAATTCCAAGCTGTACAACAACAGAAAGTTGACACTAGTAAGCTCTTGGAACATTTTAACACATCAAACAAGCCATCAGCAGAAGAAAGCACTATTGTTGCCTAAAGTGGGTGAAACAAGAGTCTTAAGGACTACCAGATGATAGGGATTTGAGAGAAGATTATTGTCTTCTTGCCCTGAATCACTCTCCTTGCCGCTGTTTAGGTCAATTGATGTACAGACCTTGGAGTTAAGACTCAATAATAAATCTTAAAAGCAGTTAAATATCAATAGTTAGTACCTGTTAGCCACAAGGCGGAGTTGTCTAAAGGGCCATATATATACACCTTCCAGATTTATTTGGGCACCACCCACATTTTGTTCATTGTCAAATACGTCATGGAAAACAACTACACCCTGTTTCATTAACGTTGTTAGAAGTTCAAATATTGTGTGCTACAAGATCAAGGGCGATCCTATCATACAGAGTTTAGAAGCTGAAGTGTTCACCTGAACATAGTGCACACCAGTTATCTTTGTAGGAGCTGCCACTAACTCAACCACAGAATTACCATTTTCTTTTTGAAAGTCTTGAAACTTCGAAGAGCTATTGACGGAATTCAGAAACTTCCAAGTTCCTGAAAATACCCGCTTTACATTCGATAAGTAGTCTAAAACACTAAGCAACAGACATATACCCACAACATCGTACACAATCCTGAAGAGGCAAGACTTAAAAACAAATGAAGAAGGACATGCCACAAACCTCTATATGTTCCTGTTATATTCCATGCAGAAAACGGTCCTACTTCAGCTTCTTGTTTCCTACCAAAGAACCACTGCAAGATCACAAAGGCCTGACGTATTAAACCATAACTCAAACATTGCCTGGTCAGTCTAACGTAGATGAGTTCACTTTGCACAGTCTTGCTATATAATTCACTAGCGATACAAACTCAAACTGTAAATGTCATAGCATTCACCGGCAGAACAAAGCTTGAATTTCCGATGAGCTCAATCGAGCTAAATTAGATAGTATATACAAATTCAGCTTGCTCAATCAAATGAAAAGATGAAACTTAGACCAGAGCTACTCTACTCCTAGATTTTCATTCAATATGGTCACTGTCGTTATATCATTATACTCTGATCAGCTCTCAAAGAGTAGAAAATCTCAGATTTAGAAAAGTCATCACTTGTGACGAGTTATCTATCGTTCAGCCAATCACAAATCAATAAAACACATTTGACAGCAAACTGGTCGGATTCTTAGCTGGGAAATTCAAGTACATCATAATTACGAACAAAAGCATAAAAATTTGTTTCTGGGAAACATCGAAATGAAGAAACTTTCGAAAAAAAAAAAAAACACAAACCTCGTCACTCCATGATCGAGATTTCTCCCTAATAGGTCTCAGTCCCAGCGCTTGTTGCGAAATCGCCAACCAAATCGATAACCAGAAGATAACATGCCACTCGAACCCTAATCCCAAATTTTCCCGCTTCTTCATATCACTCACAACCCCCAAAAATCCCTCCTTTATGACTTAATCCACAACAAAAAGAAATACAAAATCCGACTGGATCAGAACTGATTCGAGTCTAGCTCCAAAACCCACATCACTGAAGAAAGAAAGAGGTTTGCTTCAAATGAAGTCAAAACAAACTAGGTTTTGGTTTTGTTTTATGCAAGAAAACCCAAAAGACAGCATAAGATTGGTAGCTGTATCAGACAGCAGATAGAAAGATGATTACAGACAGATAAACAACAACAACTTTTTTTTTTTTTTTTTTTGGGCAACAACAACAACAACCCTAAAGAGCAATTTGTTATAAAAAAAAAAAAAAAAACTCCAATTGATGAATTTGGGCAAATTTGTTTCTTGCGGTCGTTGAAGCTTCTCAATCAAACGTACTCTCTCAATTGTTGAACAAGTCGAAACTTCTTTTGGTCTCTGATTTTTTTATTTTAATATATTAGCTTTTTCTGTTATAAACGAAGGGTTTTAATTGAGAAATTTGTTAGTTGAAGTTTCATAATCTCAGCTCTTTTCTTTACGCCTTAAAACTTCTTTTTTCCTCAAAAAAGATTTGTACCAATGTTTTACGTTTTTTTTTTGGATTAAAACATAAGTAGAAATTTTATTTTCGATGTCACAGTTAAGGAACGATCATCAAATATTAATTAGATCCTTCACCCTAATTTCCCATTATAGAAAGTAAAATTCTTCTAATATTGTCCAACAAGTTGAGCTTTTAAAAGTAGAAGAGAAAGTGTGTAAAATTTTACTAATTTGTCATTAGGAGAAGAAATTGATTCATTCTTCTACTAATAGTTGGGCTTTAAAAGTAGAGGAGAAAATGTGTAGCGCCTCTCTTACAACATACTCGATCCATTTAAAAAAACCCGCTAAAACTTTAATATTATATTATTCGAAAATATTTATCATTTTATAAATTAAAATTTTAAAATAAAACAATATGTAACTTAAGTTTAAATGATGCTGTAAAAAATAAAATAAATTTTTTAAATAATAATAAATACTAAAGGATTTGAATTTTTATATTTGATGGCTAAAGAATCTGAGTGAACAATGTTTGTTTGTGAGAAAGAAAGTGAAAAATTAAAGTTAGATAGCCGTTAAGTCCATTGCATGTCGAGACATGTTAAAAAGAAGACAGGAGCAAAACCAAAACGCTTCTACTTAATTGCATTTCTCTAGGTAATCGATGCACAGCCAAAAAAAGCTTGACCTAACGGCTATGTTTTCTCTACTTTCACCATAAATAAACGCCTCTTGAAGTTGCAAACACACAATCAAAGAGAGTTAGTAAGAAGTTGGGGTTTGATTAACGTTTTGGTTCGGAGATGGGTTTGGTCATGAGGTTTGATCTTTACCTTATGTTTGTGATGTTGATGGGTTTGGGGTTTACGATATCAAATGGATACAAATTCTATGTTGGTGGGAAAGATGGTTGGGTCCCTACTCCGATCCTTCCGAAGATTATTCTCATTGGTCTCACCGAAACCGGTTTCAAGTCAACGACACTCTTCGTAAGTCTCCTTCCTCTTCTCTTTCTATATAACTATCTATACAATGTGTCAATATTAATGCCTTATAATTTTGCATTTTTACAAGATTTTAAGTACGGGAAGGGAAAAGATTCAGTGTTGGAGGTGAGGGAACAAGAGTACAACACATGCAACACGACAACCCCCCCCCTGACTTCCCTCCCAGACGGAGACTCTCTCTTTCTACTTAGCCACTCCGGTTCCTTCTTTTTCATTAGTGGCAACTCTCAAAACTGTCTCTTGGAGATTCTTGAAACACTTGAGAGGAGAAAATTCCAAGCTGTACAACAACAGAAAGTTGACACTAGTAAGCTCTTGGAACATTTTAACACATCAAACAAGCCATCAGCAGAAGAAAGCACTATTGTTGCCTAAAGTGGGTGAAACAAGAGTCTTAAGGACTACCAGATGATAGGGATTTGAGAGAAGATTATTGTCTTCTTGCCCTGAATCACTCTCCTTGCCGCTGTTTAGGTCAATTGATGTACAGACCTTGGAGTTAAGACTCAATAATAAATCTTAAAAGCAGTTAAATATCAATAGTTAGTACCTGTTAGCCACAAGGCGGAGTTGTCTAAAGGGCCATATATATACACCTTCCAGATTTATTTGGGCACCACCCACATTTTGTTCATTGTCAAATACGTCATGGAAAACAACTACACCCTGTTTCATTAACGTTGTTAGAAGTTCAAATATTGTGTGCTACAAGATCAAGGGCGATCCTATCATACAGAGTTTAGAAGCTGAAGTGTTCACCTGAACATAGTGCACACCAGTTATCTTTGTAGGAGCTGCCACTAACTCAACCACAGAATTACCATTTTCTTTTTGAAAGTCTTGAAACTTCGAAGAGCTATTGACGGAATTCAGAAACTTCCAAGTTCCTGAAAATACCCGCTTTACATTCGATAAGTAGTCTAAAACACTAAGCAACAGACATATACCCACAACATCGTACACAATCCTGAAGAGGCAAGACTTAAAAACAAATGAAGAAGGACATGCCACAAACCTCTATATGTTCCTGTTATATTCCATGCAGAAAACGGTCCTACTTCAGCTTCTTGTTTCCTACCAAAGAACCACTGCAAGATCACAAAGGCCTGACGTATTAAACCATAACTCAAACATTGCCTGGTCAGTCTAACGTAGATGAGTTCACTTTGCACAGTCTTGCTATATAATTCACTAGCGATACAAACTCAAACTGTAAATGTCATAGCATTCACCGGCAGAACAAAGCTTGAATTTCCGATGAGCTCAATCGAGCTAAATTAGATAGTATATACAAATTCAGCTTGCTCAATCAAATGAAAAGATGAAACTTAGACCAGAGCTACTCTACTCCTAGATTTTCATTCAATATGGTCACTGTCGTTATATCATTATACTCTGATCAGCTCTCAAAGAGTAGAAAATCTCAGATTTAGAAAAGTCATCACTTGTGACGAGTTATCTATCGTTCAGCCAATCACAAATCAATAAAACACATTTGACAGCAAACTGGTCGGATTCTTAGCTGGGAAATTCAAGTACATCATAATTACGAACAAAAGCATAAAAATTTGTTTCTGGGAAACATCGAAATGAAGAAACTTTCGAAAAAAAAAAAAAACACAAACCTCGTCACTCCATGATCGAGATTTCTCCCTAATAGGTCTCAGTCCCAGCGCTTGTTGCGAAATCGCCAACCAAATCGATAACCAGAAGATAACATGCCACTCGAACCCTAATCCCAAATTTTCCCGCTTCTTCATATCACTCACAACCCCCAAAAATCCCTCCTTTATGACTTAATCCACAACAAAAAGAAATACAAAATCCGACTGGATCAGAACTGATTCGAGTCTAGCTCCAAAACCCACATCACTGAAGAAAGAAAGAGGTTTGCTTCAAATGAAGTCAAAACAAACTAGGTTTTGGTTTTGTTTTATGCAAGAAAACCCAAAAGACAGCATAAGATTGGTAGCTGTATCAGACAGCAGATAGAAAGATGATTACAGACAGATAAACAACAACAACTTTTTTTTTTTTTTTTTTTTGGGCAACAACAACAACAACCCTAAAGAGCAATTTGTTATAAAAAAAAAAAAAAAAACTCCAATTGATGAATTTGGGCAAATTTGTTTCTTGCGGTCGTTGAAGCTTCTCAATCAAACGTACTCTCTCAATTGTTGAACAAGTCGAAACTTCTTTTGGTCTCTGATTTTTTTATTTTAATATATTAGCTTTTTCTGTTATAAACGAAGGGTTTTAATTGAGAAATTTGTTAGTTGAAGTTTCATAATCTCAGCTCTTTTCTTTACGCCTTAAAACTTCTTTTTTCCTCAAAAAAGATTTGTACCAATGTTTTACGTTTTTTTTTTGGATTAAAACATAAGTAGAAATTTTATTTTCGATGTCACAGTTAAGGAACGATCATCAAATATTAATTAGATCCTTCACCCTAATTTCCCATTATAGAAAGTAAAATTCTTCTAATATTGTCCAACAAGTTGAGCTTTTAAAAGTAGAAGAGAAAGTGTGTAAAATTTTACTAATTTGTCATTAGGAGAAGAAATTGATTCATTCTTCTACTAATAGTTGGGCTTTAAAAGTAGAGGAGAAAATGTGTAGCGCCTCTCTTACAACATACTCGATCCATTTAAAAAAACCCGCTAAAACTTTAATATTATATTATTCGAAAATATTTATCATTTTATAAATTAAAATTTTAAAATAAAACAATATGTAACTTAAGTTTAAATGATGCTGTAAAAAATAAAATAAATTTTTTAAATAATAATAAATACTAAAGGATTTGAATTTTTATATTTGATGGCTAAAGAATCTGAGTGAACAATGTTTGTTTGTGAGAAAGAAAGTGAAAAATTAAAGTTAGATAGCCGTTAAGTCCATTGCATGTCGAGACATGTTAAAAAGAAGACAGGAGCAAAACCAAAACGCTTCTACTTAATTGCATTTCTCTAGGTAATCGATGCACAGCCAAAAAAAGCTTGACCTAACGGCTATGTTTTCTCTACTTTCACCATAAATAAACGCCTCTTGAAGTTGCAAACACACAATCAAAGAGAGTTAGTAAGAAGTTGGGGTTTGATTAACGTTTTGGTTCGGAGATGGGTTTGGTCATGAGGTTTGATCTTTACCTTATGTTTGTGATGTTGATGGGTTTGGGGTTTACGATATCAAATGGATACAAATTCTATGTTGGTGGGAAAGATGGTTGGGTCCCTACTCCGATCCTTCCGAAGATTATTCTCATTGGTCTCACCGAAACCGGTTTCAAGTCAACGACACTCTTCGTAAGTCTCCTTCCTCTTCTCTTTCTATATAACTATCTATACAATGTGTCAATATTAATGCCTTATAATTTTGCATTTTTACAAGATTTTAAGTACGGGAAGGGAAAAGATTCAGTGTTGGAGGTGAGGGAACAAGAGTACAACACATGCAACACGACAACCCCCCCCCTGACTTCCCTCCCAGACGGAGACTCTCTCTTTCTACTTAGCCACTCCGGTTCCTTCTTTTTCATTAGTGGCAACTCTCAAAACTGTCTCTTGGAGATTCTTGAAACACTTGAGAGGAGAAAATTCCAAGCTGTACAACAACAGAAAGTTGACACTAGTAAGCTCTTGGAACATTTTAACACATCAAACAAGCCATCAGCAGAAGAAAGCACTATTGTTGCCTAAAGTGGGTGAAACAAGAGTCTTAAGGACTACCAGATGATAGGGATTTGAGAGAAGATTATTGTCTTCTTGCCCTGAATCACTCTCCTTGCCGCTGTTTAGGTCAATTGATGTACAGACCTTGGAGTTAAGACTCAATAATAAATCTTAAAAGCAGTTAAATATCAATAGTTAGTACCTGTTAGCCACAAGGCGGAGTTGTCTAAAGGGCCATATATATACACCTTCCAGATTTATTTGGGCACCACCCACATTTTGTTCATTGTCAAATACGTCATGGAAAACAACTACACCCTGTTTCATTAACGTTGTTAGAAGTTCAAATATTGTGTGCTACAAGATCAAGGGCGATCCTATCATACAGAGTTTAGAAGCTGAAGTGTTCACCTGAACATAGTGCACACCAGTTATCTTTGTAGGAGCTGCCACTAACTCAACCACAGAATTACCATTTTCTTTTTGAAAGTCTTGAAACTTCGAAGAGCTATTGACGGAATTCAGAAACTTCCAAGTTCCTGAAAATACCCGCTTTACATTCGATAAGTAGTCTAAAACACTAAGCAACAGACATATACCCACAACATCGTACACAATCCTGAAGAGGCAAGACTTAAAAACAAATGAAGAAGGACATGCCACAAACCTCTATATGTTCCTGTTATATTCCATGCAGAAAACGGTCCTACTTCAGCTTCTTGTTTCCTACCAAAGAACCACTGCAAGATCACAAAGGCCTGACGTATTAAACCATAACTCAAACATTGCCTGGTCAGTCTAACGTAGATGAGTTCACTTTGCACAGTCTTGCTATATAATTCACTAGCGATACAAACTCAAACTGTAAATGTCATAGCATTCACCGGCAGAACAAAGCTTGAATTTCCGATGAGCTCAATCGAGCTAAATTAGATAGTATATACAAATTCAGCTTGCTCAATCAAATGAAAAGATGAAACTTAGACCAGAGCTACTCTACTCCTAGATTTTCATTCAATATGGTCACTGTCGTTATATCATTATACTCTGATCAGCTCTCAAAGAGTAGAAAATCTCAGATTTAGAAAAGTCATCACTTGTGACGAGTTATCTATCGTTCAGCCAATCACAAATCAATAAAACACATTTGACAGCAAACTGGTCGGATTCTTAGCTGGGAAATTCAAGTACATCATAATTACGAACAAAAGCATAAAAATTTGTTTCTGGGAAACATCGAAATGAAGAAACTTTCGAAAAAAAAAAAAAAACACAAACCTCGTCACTCCATGATCGAGATTTCTCCCTAATAGGTCTCAGTCCCAGCGCTTGTTGCGAAATCGCCAACCAAATCGATAACCAGAAGATAACATGCCACTCGAACCCTAATCCCAAATTTTCCCGCTTCTTCATATCACTCACAACCCCCAAAAATCCCTCCTTTATGACTTAATCCACAACAAAAAGAAATACAAAATCCGACTGGATCAGAACTGATTCGAGTCTAGCTCCAAAACCCACATCACTGAAGAAAGAAAGAGGTTTGCTTCAAATGAAGTCAAAACAAACTAGGTTTTGGTTTTGTTTTATGCAAGAAAACCCAAAAGACAGCATAAGATTGGTAGCTGTATCAGACAGCAGATAGAAAGATGATTACAGACAGATAAACAACAACAACTTTTTTTTTTTTTTTTTTTTGGGCAACAACAACAACAACCCTAAAGAGCAATTTGTTATAAAAAAAAAAAAAAAAACTCCAATTGATGAATTTGGGCAAATTTGTTTCTTGCGGTCGTTGAAGCTTCTCAATCAAACGTACTCTCTCAATTGTTGAACAAGTCGAAACTTCTTTTGGTCTCTGATTTTTTTATTTTAATATATTAGCTTTTTCTGTTATAAACGAAGGGTTTTAATTGAGAAATTTGTTAGTTGAAGTTTCATAATCTCAGCTCTTTTCTTTACGCCTTAAAACTTCTTTTTTCCTCAAAAAAGATTTGTACCAATGTTTTACGTTTTTTTTTTGGATTAAAACATAAGTAGAAATTTTATTTTCGATGTCACAGTTAAGGAACGATCATCAAATATTAATTAGATCCTTCACCCTAATTTCCCATTATAGAAAGTAAAATTCTTCTAATATTGTCCAACAAGTTGAGCTTTTAAAAGTAGAAGAGAAAGTGTGTAAAATTTTACTAATTTGTCATTAGGAGAAGAAATTGATTCATTCTTCTACTAATAGTTGGGCTTTAAAAGTAGAGGAGAAAATGTGTAGCGCCTCTCTTACAACATACTCGATCCATTTAAAAAAACCCGCTAAAACTTTAATATTATATTATTCGAAAATATTTATCATTTTATAAATTAAAATTTTAAAATAAAACAATATGTAACTTAAGTTTAAATGATGCTGTAAAAAATAAAATAAATTTTTTAAATAATAATAAATACTAAAGGATTTGAATTTTTATATTTGATGGCTAAAGAATCTGAGTGAACAATGTTTGTTTGTGAGAAAGAAAGTGAAAAATTAAAGTTAGATAGCCGTTAAGTCCATTGCATGTCGAGACATGTTAAAAAGAAGACAGGAGCAAAACCAAAACGCTTCTACTTAATTGCATTTCTCTAGGTAATCGATGCACAGCCAAAAAAAGCTTGACCTAACGGCTATGTTTTCTCTACTTTCACCATAAATAAACGCCTCTTGAAGTTGCAAACACACAATCAAAGAGAGTTAGTAAGAAGTTGGGGTTTGATTAACGTTTTGGTTCGGAGATGGGTTTGGTCATGAGGTTTGATCTTTACCTTATGTTTGTGATGTTGATGGGTTTGGGGTTTACGATATCAAATGGATACAAATTCTATGTTGGTGGGAAAGATGGTTGGGTCCCTACTCCGATCCTTCCGAAGATTATTCTCATTGGTCTCACCGAAACCGGTTTCAAGTCAACGACACTCTTCGTAAGTCTCCTTCCTCTTCTCTTTCTATATAACTATCTATACAATGTGTCAATATTAATGCCTTATAATTTTGCATTTTTACAAGATTTTAAGTACGGGAAGGGAAAAGATTCAGTGTTGGAGGTGAGGGAACAAGAGTACAACACATGCAACACGACAACCCCCCCCCTGACTTCCCTCCCAGACGGAGACTCTCTCTTTCTACTTAGCCACTCCGGTTCCTTCTTTTTCATTAGTGGCAACTCTCAAAACTGTCTCTTGGAGATTCTTGAAACACTTGAGAGGAGAAAATTCCAAGCTGTACAACAACAGAAAGTTGACACTAGTAAGCTCTTGGAACATTTTAACACATCAAACAAGCCATCAGCAGAAGAAAGCACTATTGTTGCCTAAAGTGGGTGAAACAAGAGTCTTAAGGACTACCAGATGATAGGGATTTGAGAGAAGATTATTGTCTTCTTGCCCTGAATCACTCTCCTTGCCGCTGTTTAGGTCAATTGATGTACAGACCTTGGAGTTAAGACTCAATAATAAATCTTAAAAGCAGTTAAATATCAATAGTTAGTACCTGTTAGCCACAAGGCGGAGTTGTCTAAAGGGCCATATATATACACCTTCCAGATTTATTTGGGCACCACCCACATTTTGTTCATTGTCAAATACGTCATGGAAAACAACTACACCCTGTTTCATTAACGTTGTTAGAAGTTCAAATATTGTGTGCTACAAGATCAAGGGCGATCCTATCATACAGAGTTTAGAAGCTGAAGTGTTCACCTGAACATAGTGCACACCAGTTATCTTTGTAGGAGCTGCCACTAACTCAACCACAGAATTACCATTTTCTTTTTGAAAGTCTTGAAACTTCGAAGAGCTATTGACGGAATTCAGAAACTTCCAAGTTCCTGAAAATACCCGCTTTACATTCGATAAGTAGTCTAAAACACTAAGCAACAGACATATACCCACAACATCGTACACAATCCTGAAGAGGCAAGACTTAAAAACAAATGAAGAAGGACATGCCACAAACCTCTATATGTTCCTGTTATATTCCATGCAGAAAACGGTCCTACTTCAGCTTCTTGTTTCCTACCAAAGAACCACTGCAAGATCACAAAGGCCTGACGTATTAAACCATAACTCAAACATTGCCTGGTCAGTCTAACGTAGATGAGTTCACTTTGCACAGTCTTGCTATATAATTCACTAGCGATACAAACTCAAACTGTAAATGTCATAGCATTCACCGGCAGAACAAAGCTTGAATTTCCGATGAGCTCAATCGAGCTAAATTAGATAGTATATACAAATTCAGCTTGCTCAATCAAATGAAAAGATGAAACTTAGACCAGAGCTACTCTACTCCTAGATTTTCATTCAATATGGTCACTGTCGTTATATCATTATACTCTGATCAGCTCTCAAAGAGTAGAAAATCTCAGATTTAGAAAAGTCATCACTTGTGACGAGTTATCTATCGTTCAGCCAATCACAAATCAATAAAACACATTTGACAGCAAACTGGTCGGATTCTTAGCTGGGAAATTCAAGTACATCATAATTACGAACAAAAGCATAAAAATTTGTTTCTGGGAAACATCGAAATGAAGAAACTTTCGAAAAAAAAAAAAAACACAAACCTCGTCACTCCATGATCGAGATTTCTCCCTAATAGGTCTCAGTCCCAGCGCTTGTTGCGAAATCGCCAACCAAATCGATAACCAGAAGATAACATGCCACTCGAACCCTAATCCCAAATTTTCCCGCTTCTTCATATCACTCACAACCCCCAAAAATCCCTCCTTTATGACTTAATCCACAACAAAAAGAAATACAAAATCCGACTGGATCAGAACTGATTCGAGTCTAGCTCCAAAACCCACATCACTGAAGAAAGAAAGAGGTTTGTTGAAATGTGATTCAAACAGCAATAAACAGGGGAGTTAATGTGAGTAAAGTCACATTTGTCAGTTTTGGTTTTTACAATCAATTTGGGGGTTTCAATTTTATGTTTAATGTAGGACATAATGATTCCATGGGTTTAATGGGTGCAGTTACATTTCTTTTCTATATAAGCATGTAGTCTCACTCTGAGAAAGTTATCAGAGACATCTGAAAGTGATTCAGAGAATAAAGTATCATTCAGCTAAACAGTTCTTGTTCTCTGTTTCTGTTCTCTGTTCGACACACTTGTTACAACGACAGTGTGGTATTACCTCTGTCCTATCATCTCTGTTTCTAACATTGTGGTATCAGAGCGTAGATTTCGATCCTCCTTTACATCCTATCTGAAGAAATGGCAGGCAACGGTTCAAACCAGCCACTTTCTGTTCCACAGTTTAAAGGTGAGAAGTATCACCTTTGGAGTCTTAAGATGAAGACTATGTTTAGATCTCAAGAGGTTTGGGATTTGGTGGAAAATGGATTTGAAGATGCAAATCCAGCGGCACCCGATCAGCAGTTACGGGAGAGTCGCAAGAAGGATGCAAAGGCGTTGTTTCTCATTCAATCAGCCCTGGATGAGGATATTTTGTCACGGATTGTTGCCGTGAATACGTCTCATGAAGCATGGGAGATTTTGAAGCGTGAGTATTTGGGTGATCAGAAGGTGATCACTGTGAAGCTGCAGACTCTACGTCATAGTTTCGAGACAATCTCAATGAAGGAGAAAGAAACTATACAAGAGTATTTGGCAAGAGTTTCTACCATTGTAAGTCAAATGAGTTCTTATGGTGATTCTTTGTCAAATGAAACTGTTGTGAGTAAAGTTCTGAGGACTTTAACTCCAAAGTTTGAGTATGTTGTTCCTGCGATTATGGAAGCCAACGATCTGAGCACGTACACGTTTGATGAGATGATGAGTTCGTTGTTGTCTCATGAAGATCGGCTTATGAAGAAGATTGAAAAATCGGAAGAGAAGGCCTTTCAGGTGAAGGGAGAGTTCTCTGCGCAGAACAACAGTGGATATGGTAGAGGAAGAGGTAGCTTCAGAGGCGGTAGAGGCAGAGGACGATCTGGTGGTCGTGGAGACTCTGGTCGTGGAACAGGCCAATCAGACAGTGTCAGTCTATCGTACAACAGAGGTACGGACAAGAGCAATATTCAGTGTCATTATTGCAAGAAGTATGGTCATATGCAAGTTGACTGTTGGAAGAAACAGAATGAAGAAAAGCAAGCAAGCTTTGTTGAAGAAGATGTGCAGCCAAGACTTTTCATGGCATACAAAAGTCTGGATGTGTCCAAAACAGTGTGGTATTTGGACAGTGGGTGTTCGAATCATATGTCGGGCATCAAGTCAATGTTTAAGGAGATAGATGAGTCGTACAAGCTTAAGGTGAAGCTTGGAGATGATAAAGAAGTTCAAGTTGAAGGAAGAGGTATTGTGGTCGTTCACAATGGTGATGGTAATCTCAAACTCATTTATGATGTGTATTACATTCCTGAGCTGGCGCAGAATCTGTTGAGTGTTGGACAGATGGTGGAAAACAATTGTTCTGTTTTCTTTGATGGTAATGTGTGTGTTATCAAGGATAAGAAATCCGGAAGCACGTTAGCTGTGGTGAAGAAGACATCAAACAATCTATACCCATTAGAGATGTCTTCAGTGGAAGCAAGTTCTTTGGTTGCTAAGGTTTCAGAGGAAACAAGGCTGTGGCACTTGCGGTATGGGCATCTACATGAGAATGCCTTGAAGATGCTGAGTGAGAAGGATATGGTGGTAGGTTTACCAAAGATTGAAGGTCTTAAGCTGTGTGAAGGTTGCGTATTTGGGAAGCAAACACGCAAGTCGTTTCCTGTTGGTCAAGCAAGGAGAGCAACTCAATGTCTTGAGATTGTTCATGCTGATCTGTGTGGTCCTATGCAGACTACATCTCTGGGAGGAAGCAGATATTTCCTCATGATGACAGATGACTACAGCAGGATGAGCTGGGTCTATTTTTTGGAGTCCAAAGGAGAAGCCTTTGAGATGTTTAAGAAGTTTAAGGCGCTTGTAGAGAAGCAAAGTGGTCAGTTGGTCAAGGTGTTGCGGACTGACAGAGGTGGAGAGTTCACATCCACTGAATTCAACCAATTCTGCGAAAGAGAAGGGATTCATCATGAGCTTACAACAGCCTATACACCAGAACAGAACGGTGTAGCAGAGAGAAAAAACAGGACTGTTGTAGAGATGGCAAGAAGCATGCTGAAACAAAAGAATCTGCCAAATCAGTTTTGGGCAGAAAGTGTGAAGACAGCAGTGTATCTGCTGAATATTTCGCCTACAAAAGCTGTACTGAACAAGACACCATACGAAGCATGGTGTGGGAGAAAACCCGCTGTAAGTCACTTGAGAGTTTTTGGTAGTGTTGCATATTCTCTTGTTGACAGTCATCACAGGAAGAAGTTGGATGAAAAATCTGAGAAATGCGTATTTCTTGGATATTGTTCACAATCTAAAGGTTATAGATTGTACAATCCTGTGAGTGGCAAGATTATTGAGAGCAGGAATGTCACATTTGATGAGGTTTCAGTTTGGAGGTGGCGTGAAGGTGACAATGGTGAGCTTGTTGAAGTCCTGTCTGACAGCACTGCTGAACAGGAAGAGAATCAGAGTCCAGCTGGTTCTGAAGTTAATACACCAGCAAATTCAGTCCCAAATTCACCTAATTCAAGCAATGACGGTGGTGCAAACAGTGAAGGAAGTACACCTCAAAAATTCAGATCCCTGCGAGACATTTATGAGGTACAGCAAGCGTTGTTCATCTGTGAGCCAGGATCGTTCAACGAGGCTGCAGTGAAAACAGAGTGGCAGAAAGCAATGGATGAAGAGATAACATCCATAGAGAAGAGTCAAACTTGGAAGTTAGTTGAGCTTCCTAAAGGTAAACATTCCATTGGTGTGAAGTGGGTGTTTAGAACGAAGTATCATGCGGATGGTAGTGTTCAAAAATATAAGGCAAGACTTGTGGTTAAGGGATACGCACAAGAGTATGGAGTGGATTATGAACAAACGTTCTCTCCAGTAGCAAGGTTTGATACTGTGAGAACTCTACTTGCTTTAGGAGCTTATATGCATTGGCCAATATATCAGTTTGATGTTAAGTCAGCTTTCTTGAATGGTGAGCTACTTGAAGAGGTTTATGTTAATCAGCCTGAAGGTTTTGTGGTTCAAGGCAAAGAGGGTTGTGTGTACAAGTTGCAGAAGGCATTGTACGGGCTCAAGCAAGCTCCTAGAGCTTGGTACAACAAGATTGATTCGTTTTTTGGTGAAAGGGGTTTTGAAAGAAGCAAGAGTGAGCCTACTCTCTACATAAAGAAGCAAAGTGAAGGTGATATCCTTATTGTGTGCTTATATGTAGATGATATGATTTACATGGGTTCTAGTGCTGCAATGGTTGCTGATTTCAAGGATAGTATGATGAAGAAGTTTGAAATGTCAGATTTGGGGTTGTTGCATTATTTTCTTGGTCTTGAGATTAAGCAAGAGGAAGATGGGATATTTGTGTCTCAGCAGAAGTATGCAGCAGATCTGTTGAAGAGGTTCAACATGACAAATTGCAATGTGGAGGAGACTCCTATGAATGTCAATGAGAAGCTGCAGATGGATGATGGAACGGAAAAAGCTGATCCAACAAGATTCAGAAGTTTAGTTGGAGGTCTGATTTATCTAACTCATACAAGGCCAGATATTTCTTTTGCTGTGAGTGCAATTTCCAGGTTTATGCACAGTCCTACGAAGCAGCATTATGGTGCAGCAAAGAGGCTGCTGAGGTATGTTGCAGGTACAACAGAGTTTGGTCTGTGGTACAACAGAGTTGCAGAGTTCGAGTTGGTCGGTTTCACATACAGTGATTGGGCAGGCTGTGTGCAAGACAGAAAGAGCACTTCAGGGTATGTTTTCAATCTGGGTTCTGGAGCAATCTGTTGGAGTTCAAAGAAGCAGAATGTGACAGCTCTGTCGTCATCAGAAGCTGAGTATACAGCTGCTACAGCAGCAGCATGTCAAGCTGTTTGGTTAAGAAGAATTCTAGAGGATGTCAAGCAAGAGCAAACAAAGGCGACAACAATTTTCTGTGACAACAAGTCGACCATAGCAATGACGAAGAATCCAGCATATCATGGAAGAACGAAGCATATATCCATCAAGGTTCACTTCATCAGAGATTTGGTTAATGAAGGTTCAGTTGGGTTGGAGTATTGTAGCACCAACGAGCAGAGTGCTGATGTTCTGACAAAGGCATTGTCAAAGAGCAAGTTTGAGTACTTCAGGAGTAAGCTTGGAGTGTGCAAGTTTGAATCAAGGGAGAGTGTTGAAATGTGATTCAAACAGCAATAAACAGGGGAGTTAATGTGAGTAAAGTCACATTTGTCAGTTTTGGTTTTTACAATCAATTTGGGGGTTTCAATTTTATGTTTAATGTAGGACATAATGAGTCCATGGGTTTAATGGGTGCAGTTACATTTCTTTTCTATATAAGCATGTAGTCTCACTCTGAGAAAGTTATCAGAGACATCTGAAAGTGATTCAGAGAATAAAGTATCATTCAGCTAAACAGTTCTTGTTCTCTGTTTCTGTTCTCTGTTCGACACACTTGTTACAACGACAGTGTGGTATTACCTCTGTCCTATCATCTCTGTTTCTAACAAGGTTTGCTTCAAATGAAGTCAAAACAAACTAGGTTTTGGTTTTGTTTTATGCAAGAAAACCCAAAAGACAGCATAAGATTGGTAGCTGTATCAGACAGCAGATAGAAAGATGATTACAGACAGATAAACAACAACAACTTTTTTTTTTTTTTTTTTTTGGGCAACAACAACAACAACCCTAAAGAGCAATTTGTTATAAAAAAAAAAAAAAAAACTCCAATTGATGAATTTGGGCAAATTTGTTTCTTGCGGTCGTTGAAGCTTCTCAATCAAACGTACTCTCTCAATTGTTGAACAAGTCGAAACTTCTTTTGGTCTCTGATTTTTTTATTTTAATATATTAGCTTTTTCTGTTATAAACGAAGGGTTTTAATTGAGAAATTTGTTAGTTGAAGTTTCATAATCTCAGCTCTTTTCTTTACGCCTTAAAACTTCTTTTTTCCTCAAAAAAGATTTGTACCAATGTTTTACGTTTTTTTTTTGGATTAAAACATAAGTAGAAATTTTATTTTCGATGTCACAGTTAAGGAACGATCATCAAATATTAATTAGATCCTTCACCCTAATTTCCCATTATAGAAAGTAAAATTCTTCTAATATTGTCCAACAAGTTGAGCTTTTAAAAGTAGAAGAGAAAGTGTGTAAAATTTTACTAATTTGTCATTAGGAGAAGAAATTGATTCATTCTTCTACTAATAGTTGGGCTTTAAAAGTAGAGGAGAAAATGTGTAGCGCCTCTCTTACAACATACTCGATCCATTTAAAAAAACCCGCTAAAACTTTAATATTATATTATTCGAAAATATTTATCATTTTATAAATTAAAATTTTAAAATAAAACAATATGTAACTTAAGTTTAAATGATGCTGTAAAAAATAAAATAAATTTTTTAAATAATAATAAATACTAAAGGATTTGAATTTTTATATTTGATGGCTAAAGAATCTGAGTGAACAATGTTTGTTTGTGAGAAAGAAAGTGAAAAATTAAAGTTAGATAGCCGTTAAGTCCATTGCATGTCGAGACATGTTAAAAAGAAGACAGGAGCAAAACCAAAACGCTTCTACTTAATTGCATTTCTCTAGGTAATCGATGCACAGCCAAAAAAAGCTTGACCTAACGGCTATGTTTTCTCTACTTTCACCATAAATAAACGCCTCTTGAAGTTGCAAACACACAATCAAAGAGAGTTAGTAAGAAGTTGGGGTTTGATTAACGTTTTGGTTCGGAGATGGGTTTGGTCATGAGGTTTGATCTTTACCTTATGTTTGTGATGTTGATGGGTTTGGGGTTTACGATATCAAATGGATACAAATTCTATGTTGGTGGGAAAGATGGTTGGGTCCCTACTCCGATCCTTCCGAAGATTATTCTCATTGGTCTCACCGAAACCGGTTTCAAGTCAACGACACTCTTCGTAAGTCTCCTTCCTCTTCTCTTTCTATATAACTATCTATACAATGTGTCAATATTAATGCCTTATAATTTTGCATTTTTACAAGATTTTAAGTACGGGAAGGGAAAAGATTCAGTGTTGGAGGTGAGGGAACAAGAGTACAACACATGCAACACGACAACCCCCCCCCTGACTTCCCTCCCAGACGGAGACTCTCTCTTTCTACTTAGCCACTCCGGTTCCTTCTTTTTCATTAGTGGCAACTCTCAAAACTGTCTCTTGGAGATTCTTGAAACACTTGAGAGGAGAAAATTCCAAGCTGTACAACAACAGAAAGTTGACACTAGTAAGCTCTTGGAACATTTTAACACATCAAACAAGCCATCAGCAGAAGAAAGCACTATTGTTGCCTAAAGTGGGTGAAACAAGAGTCTTAAGGACTACCAGATGATAGGGATTTGAGAGAAGATTATTGTCTTCTTGCCCTGAATCACTCTCCTTGCCGCTGTTTAGGTCAATTGATGTACAGACCTTGGAGTTAAGACTCAATAATAAATCTTAAAAGCAGTTAAATATCAATAGTTAGTACCTGTTAGCCACAAGGCGGAGTTGTCTAAAGGGCCATATATATACACCTTCCAGATTTATTTGGGCACCACCCACATTTTGTTCATTGTCAAATACGTCATGGAAAACAACTACACCCTGTTTCATTAACGTTGTTAGAAGTTCAAATATTGTGTGCTACAAGATCAAGGGCGATCCTATCATACAGAGTTTAGAAGCTGAAGTGTTCACCTGAACATAGTGCACACCAGTTATCTTTGTAGGAGCTGCCACTAACTCAACCACAGAATTACCATTTTCTTTTTGAAAGTCTTGAAACTTCGAAGAGCTATTGACGGAATTCAGAAACTTCCAAGTTCCTGAAAATACCCGCTTTACATTCGATAAGTAGTCTAAAACACTAAGCAACAGACATATACCCACAACATCGTACACAATCCTGAAGAGGCAAGACTTAAAAACAAATGAAGAAGGACATGCCACAAACCTCTATATGTTCCTGTTATATTCCATGCAGAAAACGGTCCTACTTCAGCTTCTTGTTTCCTACCAAAGAACCACTGCAAGATCACAAAGGCCTGACGTATTAAACCATAACTCAAACATTGCCTGGTCAGTCTAACGTAGATGAGTTCACTTTGCACAGTCTTGCTATATAATTCACTAGCGATACAAACTCAAACTGTAAATGTCATAGCATTCACCGGCAGAACAAAGCTTGAATTTCCGATGAGCTCAATCGAGCTAAATTAGATAGTATATACAAATTCAGCTTGCTCAATCAAATGAAAAGATGAAACTTAGACCAGAGCTACTCTACTCCTAGATTTTCATTCAATATGGTCACTGTCGTTATATCATTATACTCTGATCAGCTCTCAAAGAGTAGAAAATCTCAGATTTAGAAAAGTCATCACTTGTGACGAGTTATCTATCGTTCAGCCAATCACAAATCAATAAAACACATTTGACAGCAAACTGGTCGGATTCTTAGCTGGGAAATTCAAGTACATCATAATTACGAACAAAAGCATAAAAATTTGTTTCTGGGAAACATCGAAATGAAGAAACTTTCGAAAAAAAAAAAAAACACAAACCTCGTCACTCCATGATCGAGATTTCTCCCTAATAGGTCTCAGTCCCAGCGCTTGTTGCGAAATCGCCAACCAAATCGATAACCAGAAGATAACATGCCACTCGAACCCTAATCCCAAATTTTCCCGCTTCTTCATATCACTCACAACCCCCAAAAATCCCTCCTTTATGACTTAATCCACAACAAAAAGAAATACAAAATCCGACTGGATCAGAACTGATTCGAGTCTAGCTCCAAAACCCACATCACTGAAGAAAGAAAGAGGTTTGCTTCAAATGAAGTCAAAACAAACTAGGTTTTGGTTTTGTTTTATGCAAGAAAACCCAAAAGACAGCATAAGATTGGTAGCTGTATCAGACAGCAGATAGAAAGATGATTACAGACAGATAAACAACAACAACTTTTTTTTTTTTTTTTTTTTGGGCAACAACAACAACAACCCTAAAGAGCAATTTGTTATAAAAAAAAAAAAAAAACTCCAATTGATGAATTTGGGCAAATTTGTTTCTTGCGGTCGTTGAAGCTTCTCAATCAAACGTACTCTCTCAATTGTTGAACAAGTCGAAACTTCTTTTGGTCTCTGATTTTTTTATTTTAATATATTAGCTTTTTCTGTTATAAACGAAGGGTTTTAATTGAGAAATTTGTTAGTTGAAGTTTCATAATCTCAGCTCTTTTCTTTACGCCTTAAAACTTCTTTTTTCCTCAAAAAAGATTTGTACCAATGTTTTACGTTTTTTTTTTGGATTAAAACATAAGTAGAAATTTTATTTTCGATGTCACAGTTAAGGAACGATCATCAAATATTAATTAGATCCTTCACCCTAATTTCCCATTATAGAAAGTAAAATTCTTCTAATATTGTCCAACAAGTTGAGCTTTTAAAAGTAGAAGAGAAAGTGTGTAAAATTTTACTAATTTGTCATTAGGAGAAGAAATTGATTCATTCTTCTACTAATAGTTGGGCTTTAAAAGTAGAGGAGAAAATGTGTAGCGCCTCTCTTACAACATACTCGATTCATTTAAAAAAACCCGCTAAAACTTTAATATTATATTATTCGAAAATATTTATCATTTTATAAATTAAAATTTTAAAATAAAACAATATGTAACTTAAGTTTAAATGATGCTGTAAAAAATAAAATAAATTTTTTAAATAATAATAAATACTAAAGGATTTGAATTTTTATATTTGATGGCTAAAGAATCTGAGTGAACAATGTTTGTTTGTGAGAAAGAAAGTGAAAAATTAAAGTTAGATAGCCGTTAAGTCCATTGCATGTCGAGACATGTTAAAAAGAAGACAGGAGCAAAACCAAAACGCTTCTACTTAATTGCATTTCTCTAGGTAATCGATGCACAGCCAAAAAAAGCTTGACCTAACGGCTATGTTTTCTCTACTTTCACCATAAATAAACGCCTCTTGAAGTTGCAAACACACAATCAAAGAGAGTTAGTAAGAAGTTGGGGTTTGATTAACGTTTTGGTTCGGAGATGGGTTTGGTCATGAGGTTTGATCTTTACCTTATGTTTGTGATGTTGATGGGTTTGGGGTTTACGATATCAAATGGATACAAATTCTATGTTGGTGGGAAAGATGGTTGGGTCCCTACTCCGATCCTTCCGAAGATTATTCTCATTGGTCTCACCGAAACCGGTTTCAAGTCAACGACACTCTTCGTAAGTCTCCTTCCTCTTCTCTTTCTATATAACTATCTATACAATGTGTCAATATTAATGCCTTATAATTTTGCATTTTTACAAGATTTTAAGTACGGGAAGGGAAAAGATTCAGTGTTGGAGGTGAGGGAACAAGAGTACAACACATGCAACACGACAACCCCCCCCCCCCTGACTTCCCTCCCAGACGGAGACTCTCTCTTTCTACTTAGCCACTCCGGTTCCTTCTTTTTCATTAGTGGCAACTCTCAAAACTGTCTTAAAGGTCAGAAGCTAGCCGTCAAGGTCCTGTCCACCGTCCACCACAGCCACTCTCCTCGTCATACCTCTCCCTCCTCGTCTCCGTCACCGTCACTGTCTCCGGTCCATCAGGATTTGTCTTCGCCGGTGCCTTCTCCAGGAGTGGAACCATCATCTGTATCAAACGCTCATGCTCCAGCTCCAGGGCCGACTTCAGCTCGCAATTCCGCCGGGGATGGTGGTTCTTGTGATTATGATAAGTTCTATGTTTTGAGGGGTTTATATATTGTCGCTAGTCATTAATTTGTGAGGGTATTGATTCCTCTACCATTGATGAGTTTCATTTTTATGTGCATGCCATTTTATTTGTATGTTTGAAGCATCTTGTATCCATCTTTTATGTTTCCGATTTCTCGTTTTTGTTATTATGATCATGCTAATGGACGTATATGTAGTATTCACATAGCTCATGCAAAACGTCTCCATTCTAAGATCTTGTTGAAACATATAAATAGATCTTATATGAATACACTTTTTTATATATGTAAGAAATTAATTAATTGTTAGCCCGCTTAATTAGGCGAGTTACATGCTATTATAAAGCACTAAAAGAATGGAAGAATAAAAAAAAAAAAAAAAAAAGGACGTTAACACCATTTATATATATATGCTTAAAGGAGTTGGACTACCTTTACATGAACCCAATAAATATTGTGCAACTACGTATCTGGTGCTCCAGCAGTGGCAATTGTGATCTCATCCTTCAAATAAAGCACAAAGGTAATGCTTGATGAAGCAGCTTGGAAACACGAACCATTAGCAGAGAAGATAGGATATAATACTAGAATTGAAGAGTTAGGACTAAGAAGGAGGTAAAACTTTGCGACGTATGATTCGTTTTTAAAGAGGAGATTGATGAGATCCTTTAACCATCCCAGTAGAGCTGAGTGAAGACCAGAACAACTATCAAGATGGTTATAAAGAAGAGAAAGAAAAAAAAAGATCATCACAATCAAGTTTAAAAGACTTACTTGATACAAAATTCCTCTTTGTGAGAGCTACTTTTACATCTTAAATCCCACAACGCAAAACATCCATCTTGAACCAGATACAAGAAGATTTGTAAGCAACAAAAGTTAGAGCCCTCTTGACCAAAAACATAAAGAAGTTAAACAGGAACATATGTATGCTCGACACGAACCAGAATCCATTGGATGTGATGTGAACACATTGATTTTACAATTCCTGCATGTCCTATAAGAACTCTAGTACACTTATTCTTCTCTACCTAGTTTCATAAATGGTTCAGAAATTAAACGCGTATAACGCACCTTGATCCAAGAAATGTCAAAGACCACATTGTGCACTACAAAGGACGACGGAGACTTTATCCAAAGACGAATTCATCGCGCAGTCCTCTAATGTCGCAGCGGCGGAAACTGAGGAGCAGGCGGCGGGATCGGAGAATAAATAGGCAAAAAATGCGTGAACTTGTTACCATCAGATGCGATCGCTGACTTGGGATTCTCGATTTTGAACGGAGATTTCTCAAGAGAAATGTAATGGCTCTCCGGTAAATCTTCGGCATCTGATAACGGAGAAGAAATCGAAGAGGAGAGTGTGGTGATTCGTTGTAACTTTGTGCTTCTGAGTTCGATGAAACTGTCTGCTTCATCTTCATCATCACCGATTCGATTTCGATTTCTACAGCGTAAGCTACCAAAACATCAGTTTCGTTGGATCTGTAGTTTTCAATTTTCTTCAACTTAAAGGTCTACGTATATTCTTTGATCTTTCTCACAAGGTGTGGGTTATTGAATTTGGGGCGGATTGTTTTGGTTGGATCTGTAATTTCCAATTCTCTTAAAGGTGTTTTGGACATTTTCATCACTTTTGATTCAAAAAAAAAAATGGTAAACAAAATTACAAACAAGACAGTGTGGCATTCTAGCTTTTTTTTTTTCGGAGAAAGTGGCTTTCTAGCCATTGATCCGAATTCGCCGCGCTAGGCCTGGGCAAAAAAACCGCTAACCAAATAACCGACCGAACCGAACCAAAAAAAACCGAACCATATCCGAACCGAAGTTTTTAAAATAACCGAATGGTTAGTAAAATCCCCTATCCAAACTAACCGGAACCGAACCGATAACCAAACGGTTAACCGAAATATCCAAAAACCTATAAGATACCCAAAAATAATATCCAAAACAATAATTATAAACTCAAAATATTAATTATTTTTAGAATCAAAACAATCAAATATTTTAAATAATCAAAATATCCAAATATTGTTGGTTATATTTGTAAAAGTTAAATACTCTTTTACAAAAGTGAATCAAATTTTAGTTTTTTCTAATATTTTTCTTTTTTTTTTTGTATTTTTTTTGGTTAGTTTCGGTATATTTCGGTTAATTTGGGTAAAAACCCGAATCAAACTGAACGTGATAAAAGTTTGGTTAGTTACGGTTATCTATTTTAATATCCAAACCGAACCGAACCAAAATTCTTAAAATATCCTAATGGTTATTATATTACCATATCCAAACAGCCGCGCCTCTTCGTCTTTCTTCAGAGAGACACTTTTCGCCAATTTGAAACTTTCCAGGTAATCTAATCTTCTTCTTCTGCTCTTCTTTTGTATTAAGCGTCGCCTGAGAAATCTCCTGGTCGGTTTTGAGACATTACCCTGTGCTCTAATTTCGGTTGATACCTTGACATGTCCGTCTATTCTTCGAGGGTAATTTTTGTTTTCCAAATTCAGATATAAGATCTGACCCAGTGTTGAAAAGTTACTAAAAAATCTGGTTTAAAGGTTGCGGTTGCGGTTGGGTTGCCATTATTTATGTGGAATATCCTCAGGTCGATTGAATCTGGCAGTTTTAGTTTTCTTTTCTCTCTTATGAAGTGGTTCTCTCTAGTTAATGGTTTTTGTTAAGTGTTTTAGGGAATAAGAACTCTGCCATTCATCTTTTCATGAACAATGGTATTGGAATGTGCATATTTTTCCTGGATGGCTGCTTCTTTTCATAAAGCTTTGGTTGGAATGGTTTGGTTCACATTTAATGCATAGTCTCTATGGCTTAGTTTTCAATCACTTAGAGATTACTGGGGCTCTGTTGAGTTTTTTTTAGCGCTAGCGTTTGGTGGATTTATGTGAGGCATCTTAATTTATCTGTTCTTTGTGTGTGAATCACCACTTGTGCTATACTTAAGAAAACGTTTCCCTTGATAGTTTTGTACTGCAGCTGATTTCGGACTAAATCAAAGGAATCATGGAGACTGTTTCAGAAACTGGTGTTTCAAATGACTGTCAGACGAATCCAGAATTGAGTGATAAGCAGAAGAAGAGATCAGGAAAAAAGAAGAGAAAATCGAGGAAACCGGAAGATGAGTTGAAGAATAATGATTCTCATATCAGTAGCCAAATTGGGAACGCAGATGAGGCCTTTTCATCTCAAGAGAAAAAAGAAGGGGAAGAAGAGAAATCCACCAGTGAAGATCATGTTCAGTTATCCGAGAATCTTTTGTCTTCATTACCTGCAGAGTCCTGTCAACGAGATTCAATCTCATGTGAAGAGCCTGGAGCTACACTATATCATACAGATCCAGTCATATGTGAAGATTCTCTACCAGATGCTAATAGGAAGGTTCCAGTGGAAAAAAAATCAAAAAGGAGAGAGAAGAAGAAGACAGAGGACGCTTCCTGTGACGAGAAAATGTTGGTTGATGCAGAAAAAATCACCAACAAAGACCAAGTTCATCCACCCAACAATCCTTTGTCAAACGGTATAATACAAGAAGGTTCACATGAACACACTCAGGATTCATCTGAGAAGCCTGGAGCGGCACAACTTTGTACAGATCCAAATCTGTCAACCTGCGAAGATTCACAGCCAGATGCTACTAATATGACTAGTTCCCCGAAAAAAAAGAGAAAAAAGAAGAGGGGTAGAATTGCGCTGAAGGAAAGTGGTGCTGATACTTATAGTACCAATGCAGAGGTTGCTGTAAAATACAATTCTATTACTGAAGCTGAAGGATCAAGATCGATGAGTGTAGAGGAAAACTCCATTGCTAGTGTTTTGATTAAATAGTTGTCCTAAATCCAAGGTTGATACCGTGGAACAACTAGAGGGCAACGACGTCAAAATCAATGAAACTGTGTCCCAAAACTGAGAGTCCTAAAGCCAAGAAAAGGAAGAAGAAAAAGACCAAAACAATGGAGGTCTGTGACCAATTAGGAAATACTCTGCCAACTTCCACGAAAAGTGGGCCAGTAGAGTGTGTGGAAAATAATGATGGGAATGGTGGCCGAGAGTTAATTAGTTATTCAGCAAGTCAGAGGGAAAATTCTGTAACTGGGGAGGAAAGTGGTTTCAGAATCTCGGAAAAGCTAAAGAGAAGGAAACAGATGAAAACACTGAAGTCAAAGAGGACGTTCTTGGAGCAGGTGTATGTGATGTAAGGAGCAAAAAACGGAAGAGAAAGAAGAAGAAAGCATCATCTGCAGATCACAAAACTGCAGATATGGAGGTCTGTGAGCCATCAGGATCAGTAGAGTGTTTGTTGGATCCTTCCAACGAAAAAGTCATGCAAAATTGTGATGAGAATGGCAGAAAAGAGTTTGGGGGAGAGGATAAGACAAGTAAAATTGAAGAATCTGCAACGAGAGAGAAAAGCGAAGTTCAGAAATCTGGAAAACGTAAAGAAATGACAAAAGATGAAAATATTGAATCTAATCAGGATGCACTTGGAGCAGAAGATGTTAGTGATGTTGGGCGCAAAAGACAGAAGAGGAAGATATAGAAGAAAACAAATTGCGAATCAGTAGCCACCATGGATAGCGAGTCAGTACAGTGTTTGTTGCATCAATCAAGTAGAGAATGCGTACAAAATTGTGATGGGAATGCTGATGGGGAGATTGCCAGTAAGGATTTGGCTAGTAACATTGAAGATTCTGCAAGTAAGGGGGAAAGTGTTCAGGGTGTTAAAAATACCAAAAAAAAGAAAAAAGATAAAAAGGGAAAAGTTGATCAGGATGCCTTGGGAGCAGAAGATGTTAGTAAGGTTGAGGTCACAACAAAGAAAAGCAAGAAGAAGAAAATTTTATTAGATCATAAAACTGACAATATGGAGGAGGACAGTCAAAAGGAAATTGAGAATAAGGGAGAAGTTGATCAGAATGCTTTGGGAGCAGAAGGTGTTAGCAAGGTTGAGGTCAAAACAAAGATGAGCAAGAAGAAGAAAAATTCTTTAGATAATAAAACTGATGATATGGAGGAGAAGGATGATGTTTCCTTACCTAGTAAAGATGCAGAATCAGAATTTGACAGGGAAAAGCTTGAAACGTCTTTGTCAAGTTCTGTCTTAATACAAAATAATGTGGCTCAAGTAGTTGCTTCATCAGAAACTGGAGATGTACCTAGATGCTCATGTGCAGGTCAACGTACCAGAAAGTTGGTTGTATTTGATTTGAATGGAATCCTTGCAGATATTGTTCAGGGGTTTACAGGTCCATTTGTTCCAGATGGTAAAGTATCATACAGATCAGGTAAGAAAGAATCAATTTCAATGTGGTCACTTGTAAGACGTACTTCTTTGACTGCAGATTAATTCCTTTGTCCTTAGTCTTCAGGAGGCCTTTTGTTTCCAGTTTTCTCGACTTTTGCTTTGAGAGATTTCATGTTGCGATATGGTCCTCCAGACGCGTGTAAGCTTCTTGAACTGATTAAAACTCAAATGCATTGTTTTTTTTGCTGTTCTTAGTTACTTGTCTTATACATATAGAAGTTTAATTCGTCAATTAACTCCATCTCCCCTTTCCCTCTTACTAGTGGGTTGGATTATATGGTGAACATTGTCATGAAAAACTATTCGAGGAATCTGTTGTTCTGTTTTGTAAGTGATCTCTAAACCTCGAGGTATTTCTAGATTTTCAGAGTAGATGGTGAGAAATGCAGTTGACATTGAGATTGTAGTAACACAGTCTACAATCTTTTATTAGCTCTATGTAACCTGCATTTCTTTGACTATGAGATATGTAGTTTACATATGAGCAGAACTCATTCTAAATTTTGGTCCAAAAACTAGCTAATGAACTCAGCAATCCTAGTCTTGATAATATGTACACAGGACCAGAACAAGTGCACTACAACGAAGTTTAAAACTCAGGAGAATAACGATAAACCTCTGTTCCTCAAGGATCTACGAACAGTATGGGACGGTTTTGGGACATGCACCAGTTGTGGAAAGCGAAAGTACGATGAGACGACAAGGCCTTGTGTAATCCTGTAAGTACTCTAGCATCTCTGAATAGGCTTATGCATTCAATGTCACTTTTAACCTCAACATCGTTTGGTATTGCTCTTCTTCTCTTTTAGCCACACACTGGAATCCCGTACCAGTTCACAGACCGTCAAGATTCTGCATTGGGTTAGTCTTAAATTACTCAACATTCTCTTTCAATGAAATGCTAAGAACAATAGCACACTAATGTTATGATTTATTGTGACAGGACGTGAGGGTGAGCTAAGGAAGTATCTTGAAAGATTAGCAGATGCAGAGAAGGTTCAGAAGTTTGTAGCGGAGAATCCATTCGGTCAGACTGCCATAACTGAGACACACGAGTCATGGGAGTTTTACTCTAAGGTCGTCGAGGCACATAAGTAATTCCTCCACATAGATGAAGTTCCTTGTGGAAGTTTAATTTAGCTCTCACATTAAACTCTGTTCACATTCTAATTGATATTGTATCTCTTGTGTTTTAAAGACTAGCGTCGATATACATTTATCCTGTTTTTGTTCATCTAGATTCAGATTTGTAATTTGTCTTCAAATAAGTTTGATTGTTACTCGTTCAAAGATACAAAAATCATTTTTAATATGTTTTGATGGATATAGAGTAAACCATTCAGAGTCTAATCGTCACAACTTGAGTCTTCGAGACATTAAAAAGGAGCATAATCGTCTCAACTTCGATTCTTCGAGACAGAAAAAAAAATAACACAAGCAATAGCATAACTGCATAAATTAAAATAATTAACATAAAAATAAAAATGATAGTTAATAATTTCCACTAATTAAAGGAGAATAAGATTTGCATAACTTGGAGGAGAAGGTGAGAATCAGACATAAACCAAGTCTTTATTGATCACAAAGAACAATTCTGTTTTTGGCTCTCTCAATTTTATTTTCTTCTTCTTCTTCTTCTTCTTCTTCCTCCAGCTTCAGCTTCAGCTTCAACTGTACAAAAGATTGGTAAAAGGAGAAGAAGAAGAAGATCCATTAAACGGAGGGCGAAGAGAAGAACGGAATTATTGATTCCCGTTGCTCCACTCGAGCGAATTAAGATTCTTTTCCAGGTACCAAATCATTTATGGGTTTTTTCTCGATTTTATCCAGCTTGGTATTGTTTCTTCTACCAGAACTAAGATTGATTTGTCCCCTGAGTCATGTACTCGGGTTCTAGCATCGAAATCAAAGAGCTTTAGTGTTGTATTCTCAATTGGAATCTTTTTTTTTTTTTTTTATATATATATAGAGAAAGACACAGTCAAATTCTTGTTACACAATTGCTGAATTATAAGCTCATGATCATGTATTGATCTCTTTGTCAGACCAGAAGGGACGAGTTTAAAAGGATAGGACTTGTTGGATCAATCAACAAGATTGGCAAAACTGAAGGTTTGATGGGTTTCTACCGGTACGTTTGTCTTGAGTTTAAGAAGCGTTTTGGGCTCTAGTTCAGTCATGAGATTCTTAACCTCTTTTTCGGTTTTCCAACAGAGGGAATGGTGCAAGTGTTGCTCGGATAGTTCCCTATGCAGCCCTTCATTACATGGCTTATGAGGAATACAGGAGATGGATCATCTTCGGTTTCCCAGACACTACTCGAGGCCCTTTACTTACCCTCTTGACCTGGTCCGGACAAAGCTCGCTTATCAAGTAAGCTGCTTCGAATCTTGTGTGTTTTTTATGTCTCACCTCGACCTAAAAACCTAAATAGACTCATATGGAATTCAGCAGTGCAGGTTGTTGGTTCAGCAAAGGCGCAAGTAAAAGCTATTCCCTTGGATCAAATCGTATACAGAGGAATTGTAGATTGTTTCTCGAGGGCATACACAGAATCTGGATTCCGAGGCTTATATCGTGGTGTAGGTACATAATAATCATATCTTTGGATTTGTTAGATCTTCGTCTTCTCGAAGACTAAAAAAGATTTTTGAACTTTCATTTGTTGCGTGTGATCAGCTCCTTCTCTGTATGCGATCTTCCCTTATGCTGGTTTGAAGTTCTACTTCTACGAGGAAATGAAATGCCATGTCCCTGCTGAACATAAGAAAGATATTTCCCTGAAACTCGTTTGTGGGTCAGTTGCTGGATTGCTTGGTCAGACCTTAACATACCCTCTCAATGTTGTCCGGAGAAAATGCAGGTTTGATCTGGTTCTTCTTCTATCGCACACATCCTTGGATCTTCATAAAATGATCTTGAGTAGTATTATAACCGAAACTCCCTGCAGGTTGAGAGACTATATTCAGCCGTTAAGGAAGATACAAGAAGAGGAACAATGCAAACCCTTTTCAAGATTGCAAGAGAAGAAGGTTGGAAGCAACTCTTCTCGGGGTTAGCATCAATTACCTTAAGGTTTGAGACTAGTTTCATCGATCTGTATTTGTTTTTTGAACAATGGATGATTAAGTTACAAACCTTTTATTTTATGGGTTTCTCTAGGTTGTACCTTCCCTGGCAATCGGCTTCACAGTGTATGATATTATGAAGCTGCACTTGAGAGTCCCGCCGCGAGAGGAACCTGAGGCAGAAGCTGTGACGACACGGAAAAGGAAAGTTTTCACCTAATTCTAAGATCATCATATGATCTGATTCTTTGTGGTGTTTAAAACCTCAGATTATTTATAAGAGATTGTACATTCCATTTTTTAGTAGAGGAAATTGAAGCTAACATTCCTCCAAGTAAACTGTGTCAAGGACCTCTATGTAAATACAGAATTGCTTATAGTTTTTTGTTCATTCAGGAATTTTGTTGAATATTTTCAAATGTAGTCTCTACCTGAGACACTCCGCTATGTGTCTGATCTCAGCAAAACTATAGAAAGATTCATTCTTACACATCTCAGAGTATTCACCGCCAAAACAAAGCTTGGATACTGATGCGATCAATTAGATCATATTCAGCTTGCCCAATTCAATCAAAAGATGAAATTTAGACCAAAGCTACTCTACTCCTGGATTATCCTTCACCACACATTTACTCTAATCACCTCAATTTTTGCAAAAAAAAATGCAGACAATCTCAAACTTAGAAGAATCCTCAACTATGAACAACCGTTCAGCAAATCATATGACCAGAAACAAGTCCAAGAATTCATTCGACAACAAACTGGACGGACTTGCTAACTAAAGTAACATATAAGTCGCTAATGCTGACGGCCGAAGATTCTTGATCGGGTTGCCGCTGGTAAGACAGATCTTATTCCCTGGGTAATAGTCAAGATACGGCCTCCATGCGCCACAGGTCGGATGTCACCGCCTCTACCCGCCAAAGGTTGGACGTCTACACCAATCTGTGAGCAGACATGATACAGAATGTCCAAAATCAACTCTTGATCACCTCTATCAGCCACACGTGCAAAACCAGCTCTCATTTCTTCACGCAAATCCCTGATCTGAACTTAGTAGATAACAGAAAACATTACACAAGGATATGACCAAAAAATAAAAACCAAAATGTAACAAGATCGATAACGTTACCTGACTATTTGTATCAGCAGCTATATTTCTTGTCTCTTCGGCATATCTGCCCATTTCATCAAGTTTGAGCGCCGCCTCATTTATCTTTTCATCCAAATGTTTGGAAAAAGCATTCATATCTCTAAGATCAGAGCTTAACCATCTCTGCAAGGGGGGAAGAATAGTTAAGAGGCTAATATTTATTACTGTCATAAAGCGAAAGAGAATTGTTACCTGAAATTTGATCCAAACATATCCTACTCCCAGCATTCCCGATGCAGCTAACACAGCCCAAAATATAGACAAATAATTGGTTTTTTCAGCACCTGTATAGATATTTATAGGACTTTGTGCATTCTGTGCTCTCAGTTCCTTCAGGAACTGATTAAAAAAGACATAATTCGGGTGATCTGAGGGAACATCAGGGTATTGCTCAAACTTTTCCATCAACCGTTTTGGTTGTAAACCAAAGAATAAAGACAAGTATTGTTAGCTTGGAGGATCCTTTGGAAGAGGCAGTTTGCAAGAAGGAGAGAGAGACTAGACAGTGGTGCAGGAAGCTTGAAGGCCACTGCATTGTCTTTTCTTACAGTCACCGCACTGTCTTTTCTTACAGTCACCAGAGAATATACTCGAGGACCAGACTGAAAATCAAAAAGATATGATTAAAGCGTTGTAGAAACATCACATGATCAATCCAGAAGAGTGAGACAGCGAGAATTACCACTAGGGCGGCTTCTCTAGCAGGGCAGCGAGGAAGCTCGGCACAGGAAAGACCTCCAGGAGAAACATACTCCGCTCAGACTTAATGGCGTCAATAACATCAAACCCTTTCAAGGAAAGGTTTGGAGATGCATTGTTCTCAGTAGAGAGTGTTTCATCTGCGAATCCCTGTAGCACAAAACACACTTGTTAAGATCTTAAATACTGACTGCCCTATACAAAGGCTCATAATGCTTCACACTTACACTCTTTAAAGCCTGAAATGCATAGAGAAAAAAGGAAACACACTTCTAAGTTTCTATTTTCACTACCTGATTTTAACGTGAGCAAAAATCCAAGTAAATGCTAAAGAAACACAGAATATGCTAACAACACCAAATGCTAAAGAAACACAGCATTCCATTAACAAATTATGCTAACAACATCAAATCAGAGATCCCATAGTCAAATTCTGAGACAGATAGATCACAGCACAACACTAACGAAACGAGATCCCAAACAATCATCCATCCATAGACCGATAGTAGCGAAATCAAAAATAACCAAGAGAGAAAGAGAGGGCGAGAATTTACCAGAAGGCCGGCTTCTCTAGCACCCAGGACAAGGCTGGAACAGGAAACAACTCCTAGACAAGCATCCGCTAGCTCAGTGTCAGGCTTCCCGGTTCCTGAGAAGTTGTAGAGGCTGTTCTCAAAAAAAGTGCAGTGCTTAATGCCTAAGCTGTGAGCACCTACATTAGGAACATAACGAGTTAGCATTTCCAAGAAGTGAGGAATACGGAATACAACCAGATTTAGCTAAACAGAGAGAGAAGTTAACATTTACAAGTGAGAATTACCGGATATAAATGACGGTTTCTCTCTCGCTGAATACTCTGGAAGCAGCACTTGCAAGAAGGAGAGAGAGAGTAGCCTGTGGTGCAGGAAGCTTGAAGGCCACTGCACTGAATTTTCTTACAGTCACCAGACGATATACTCGAGTACCAGCCTGAAAATCAAAAAGATATGATTAAAGCGTTGTAGAACATCAACATGATCAATCCAGAAGAGTGAGACAGCGAGAATTACCACTAGGGCGGCTTCTCTAGCAGGGAAGAGAGGAAGCTCGAGAAAGACAGGAAGCTCGGCACAGGAAAGACCTCCAGGAGAAAACATACTCCCGCTCAGACTTAATGGCGTCAATAACATCAAACCCTTTCAAGGAAAGGTTGGAGATGCATTGTTCTCAGTAGAGAGTGTTTCATCTGCGAATCCCTGTAGCACAAAACACACTTGTTAAGATCTTAAATACTGACTGCCCTATACAAAGCTCATAATGCTTCACACTTACACTCTTTAAAGCCTGAAATGCATAGAGAAAAAAGGAAAACACACTTCTAAGTTTCTATTTTCACTACATGTGAGCAAAAATCCAAGTAAATGCTAAAGAAACACAGAATTCGATTCACAAATTATGATTTTAACGTGAGCAAAAATCCAAGTAAATGCTAAAGAAACACAGCATTCCATTAACAAATTATGCTAATAACATCAAATCAGAGATTCCACAGCCAAAATTCTGAGACAGATAGATCACAACACAACACTAACGAAACGAGATCCCAAACAATCACCCGTAGACAGATAGTAGCGAAATCAAAATGTAGAAGAAACGGAGAACCAAAAATGAGAAAATCTTACCTCAATGAAGCAATCGGAGAAGAGGACGCGGATGATAGAAGGAGCGGTAACGCTGGGGCAAGATTCACAGTAGTAGTCGTAGTGGAGCGAGTATGTTCGATCGGTAAGATTCGCCGGTGAACTGGCGCCGTTGAAGAAGACGCGGATGATAGAAGGGGCAGGGAACTTGAAATCGTCGCCGGTAAGATTCGCCGGTGAAGTGGCGCCGTAGATTAAGAGAGCGATGACGGAGGTAAGTAAAACAGTGAAGCCGACGAGGAACCTCATTCTCGTTTCTCTGTTTCTCCTTCTTCGTTATGGTGAGAAAATGATTGTTTGTTATGGTGAGCAGAAGAAATCCCCAATATGCCAACGTGTATCTTGGGAGGGCTCTAATCAAGTGTTTCGCGCACACCGTACTTAGTACGTGAGACGGATCCGGCCGGATCCACATTATCACTATCCGGATCCGGCCCAAAGCAATCCGGATCCATAACCGGCTGGACACAGTAACGAGACGGCGAAGAAGAACCTTCGATGGAGATTGATTCCCTTTAAAAAGCCTTGTACATTTGACAACATCACCATGGAAACGGATGTGAAGAAGAAAAAGTTGGATATGGAACGAGTCTGGAAGGGGAGAGAGGGCGGTGGCGTTAGAAACTAGGTTTTTTTCCCTTTGGCATCGCTTAGAAACTTAGGCTTATATATGATAGTTAGGCCCAATAACAAAATTCTGGTGGATTTTGAGTTTTTTTTTTTTTTTTGGTTTTTTTACAAATTTGTGTAGATTGTTGTTTAATTAGTTCATTCACATAATGGCACTTGCAAAGATGTAAAATATTGTTTTAGAAAAGAAAAAAAGAACTGCTCTTTTTATTTTGGTCGAAAAATCAATAACTTGTATATTTTTACGAAAAAATATCACTTGCTATTAGTTTTTTTAATATAATGTAGGCAACCGAATAAAACATGCGTTAAATAAAAGATACTACAAAATTATAGTGATAATATGCTGTTGACAAAAAAAAAAAAAAAAAAAAAATATGCTAGTGACTATAATTTGTTTCATAACATTCATCGCACATAATTACTTATCGAGAAAACTATATGCCATTTTAATGGCTAAAAATATGAAAACTATTGATCGACGTGTTAATAAATTAAATAAATAAATAAAAAGATCATCATCACACTCTATGCACACTAAAGTTGCAAGGAAAAGTTTCTGATAGTAAGAATAATTCACACCATTTTTCTTTGTACACGAAGTCTGAGCCTGAAAAGTTAATAAACAAACCCACGATGTGATTGTGAGCACACACACGCACTAACATCAACCCCAAGTTTCACAGATTAAATATAAAATTCAGTGACCGGCACCGGCCGATGGATTTGTTAGCAACTCAAGTGACTTCTTGAGATGTTCTACAGCAGTCGAGACTTCATCAAAAGCCAAAGCTCCCACAGCGAATCTAGCAGCCTTGTGTGCCTCTGCAACCTTCTCAGGCCCTGGCTGGTAGCTGCTGTCGTAATGGTACTTCTGAGCTGGACTCGGTGCAGGATCTAGCACAGGAGCAATATTGATACGCCCGTTTGATGAGTAAGGTGGAGGAGGAGGAGCAGAGGAGAAGCTTGCGGAAGAAGGAGCAGGTGCGGAATGCGGAGAAGAATAGTAAGGTTCTGGGTTTTGGTAGTGAGAAGGGTAGTGGGGAGGAGTGGATGGGAGGCTGCTCTCACTGAAGCTAGGATAAGATTGGAAATTGGGGAGAGAATTTGGAGAAGGCTCATGGGCTGAGTAGTTTTGTGGTGGCGGCATGTGTTGTGACGGGTCTTGGTGGTATGGTTGATGACTGTAAGGATGCTGGTAAGGGGAGTCTGATGGTCCCGTGGGAGGGGGAAGGAGATCGTTGGAAGGGTAAGAAGACGGTGGTGGAGGCGGGACATCTGTGGGATAATCATTGGTAGAGGGTGTTGTGGCACTTCAGGGAAGTGATGGTGGTTGGAGTCATCATTCGAGTCATGAGATAGATCAGGCTCTGTTCTATGATGAGTTGATGTGTTGGAATCACTTGCACCGTGATCCTGTAGATAATCAACATACACAAACGATGAATCGATTAAGTTGATGCAGATGTTCTATCATAGTGTTTCGACAGTTGAAAAAAAAACAAAAACCTAGAAGTACACAGGTGGGTGTGAATTTGTGTGTCTCTAGCTAGAAAGTCAGCGTTATACAAATTCTATAGACATTTATGCACTTAAACACTCTTCGATATTATTGGAGAGAATACACGCTAAGCCAATATCAAGATATTTCCAACCCACAAATTTCCGAGAAGAGAAACTTACATAGGAGCCACTAGGACGGCTTGATGGGATGGGTAAATCATTATCATCATCAACAGGATCACCTGGAGTGGGCTTCCTTCCTTCTTTAATGGCTTTCCTTATGTCAGCAGCCTTCCAAGCAGCGTACTTCTGTTTCTGCTCTATCTGTCAATGGAAACCATTACATATACATATATCAATCTCCTAACACAGCTGCCTCTTAAGGTGCTAGTTTTCGGTTTGAGATGATAAGTGAATGAAAAAATGTAAGAACTCACATCAGGAGGTACAGGGCCAAACTGGCTCAGAGTTTCAAAGAAGATTGCCGCAGCATAAAAAGTTTTGGCAGTGCCCTGTCACAAGCACAACAAAGTTAATATGGATTATCCATGGCAAGCCTCTGTAATGGAGTCACATGTATGCAGGTATGGACAGTTATTGAACTAATATCAGTATCAAACCATGCAAAGCAACACATCAAGGCTGGAGATGCAAGTATTTTGCAAAAGCAGAACGGCTAGAAGCCAACAGGTCGAGATATGCCTTGGATGCATCCAACTAATTACTTAACCCGCTATCTTACATCTATATTCTATTTAGATAAATACATATATTAGTAGAACATGAAAGTCATCATCAGACAATGTCAGAGGAAGGTATCACCAAAAAACATGTATGCCAGATCTGCATACTTATCGTAAGTGTATGTTCTTATATGCTATTTCCAGTATTGCAAACACAATATACTAGACAGATAGTGAATCTACAGATGCATGATAATTCGACTCATTGAGCTAGTGTTGACGGTAACCCTAACATTATTAGAAACTTACCATTGTCATATGCCATTAAATATGATAATCGAAACATAAGACATAAAAAAAATTCTTACAAGTCAGCTCTTCCTGCACGATCCTGCTTGTCTGCCTTTGCAAAGACACTTAGTGCAAACCCCTCCACATGCATATTGTCATCTGGGGACAGATTCAATGATTTCTTATCCTGGAGTTACACAAAAAAAAATGGCCATAAGAAACTGGAACTACTATAGAACAAAGAGAATGACCAGAGATTGCAATGTACAAGTGTTCTTGCTTCACATACGTTTTCCCAATCACAAGAACCAACCTAAGCTAAACTAAGATATAAGCCTCCTTACCGAACATAGAATCTCCAGCTTTGTAACAACATAGAATAATCAAAGCCAAACATACCATGAGAATTTTTAAGAATCAGTCCTTTCAATCCTAAACAAGTAAGAAATCAAAAAAAGCTGACATAAATCAGAAAAAAAAAAAACTCAGAATTTAAGGTTAATACCTTTTCAAGTTGATTAATGAGAGAGACATAAGAATCGAATTGGTGGTCTTAGTTCTCTCGCTCTGCGGAATCTTCAATCCTCGTTCCATGGCATATAGCCGACCTAATCAATCACAAAAAAGCCCACCAAAACAAGTCCAATTAAACAAAACTAGCACAGATAGATCATGGTTCATGCTTCTGCAAGCTCGTCGGCACGTGGCAGGTAAGGCAGAAGAGCCCTGGCGGTTCGTTTGGTTCGACATAGATTCTCTCTTCTCGAGCTTCGTAACAAACTGGAAACGACGTCGCAAGAGGACCTCTAAAATCCCAAACCTTCTTGGAAAACCCCTCCAAGTTTCTCTAATATTTACATCTCTCCACAACTTTTCAAATAAATTAAATCACACCCAAAAGATCTTTACCTATATTACAAAATTGCCCAAATATAAATTACGTAACTCCAATTAGAACCCTGACTTTCCTTCACTAAACCGGTCACTTCACATTTAGTCAAGCCTCATGATGCTACTAAAGCTTAACTACGACATTTCTGAAAAACAAATTTGAGTCAATGAATAGTTTGAACTTTGTACTATTACTTTTGATTGGACAAAACTCATCATCTTGTTGTTTATGGGTGTTAAACGTCAATTAAGAGAAGAAAAAAAAAAACACTAAAAACCATCATCTACTACTAAAAACTAACATCGTAATTAGCATAAGTAAGTTCTTACAATAAAATAAAAGAAATCGTTCTATAAAAAGAAGATGAGATAATTCCAAGCTGTACAACAACAGAAAGTTGACACTAGTAAGCTCTTGGAACATTAATAACATCAAACAAGCCATCGGCAGAAGAAAGCACTATCATTGCCTAAAGTGGGTGAAACAAGAGTCTGAAGGACTACCAGATGATAGGGATTTGAGAGAAGATTATTGTCTTCTTGCCCTGAATCATTCTCTTTGCCGCTGTTTTAGGTCAAGTGATGTACAGACCTTGGAGTTAAGACTCAATAATAAATCTTAAGAGCAGTTAAATAAATCAAAAGTTAGTACCTGTTAGCCACAAGGAGGAGTTGCCTAAAGGGCCATATATATACACCTTCCAGGTTTATTTGGGCACCACCCACATTTTGTTCATTGTCAAATACGTCATGGAAAACAACTAACACCCTGATCCATGAACGTTGTTATAAGCTCAAATATTGCATGCTACAAGATCAACGGGAATCCCAAAATACAGACTTTAGAAGCCGAACTGTTCACCTGAACACAATGCACACCAGTTATCTTGTTGGAACTGCCACTAACTCAACGACAGAATTACCATTTCTTTTTGAAAGTCTTGAAATTTTGAAGAGCTATTTACGGAATTCAGAAACTTCCAAGTTCCTGAGATACCCACTTTTGATAAGTAGTCTAAAACATAACACAATAGACATATACCCACAACACAGTGATAATCCTGAAGTCGCAAGAAGTTATAGAAAAAATGACGAAAGACATGCCACAAACCTTATATGTGCCAGTAATATCCATGCTGAAAACGGTCCTACTTCAGCTTCTTGTTTTCTACCAAAGAGCCACTGCAAGATCATGAAAACCCTCACAAATTAAACCATTACCTGGTTTAGTCTGAAGTACTAATATCTTGTTCACTTCGCACAGTCAACTAAATTCACTAGCAATACAAACTCAAACTGCAAATGTCATTCTAGATTCTCTCACTACCCAACTAACCTTACGAAATAGTGAGAGACACAGATTGTGATGAATTGTTGATTCTCAGGATTTCTATATATTTTCATGCTCATCGGTTTCTTAACTCGAAAATACAAATTGCAGAAGAAAATTTCTCAGTTGTTCTATCTTGCAGGTTGATACAGTGCATACACATCATCTCTACTATTTCTGTTCAGGATCCTAAAGTCACGGACCCTCAGATTGCTAATTTGCTATGACTTAGAATGGTTCTGCAGATGATTTTCAAGTGTCAAGGCAACACAACAGAACCAGTAGACAAAAGCAGATGTGGCGTGGCAAACAATGAGAAGGCGGTCCATTAAGTTATAGGGTGATGCTTACTTAAAACAAATGGTATCACTGTTGAATATTGATGAGAGAGAAGACAGAAGTTGATAGGCTGAAAAAACTACACATCTGCGTATTGACTATTGAGCTTGTTTGCAGCAGATTCTACATTATGCAGAAAGCAACTAAGTTTATTACCGAGACATTGATGGGAACAATGAAGCTGCTTCTTACAGAAATGCATATTCGGTTCGATTAACTTGCACCTACTTAGTTAATTCATACAACCTTATTATCTAGAGTTAAAGTATGATACGGTAAATAAACAGATTTTACCATTTTCGGATGATCCGTGGTTCAACGTTTTATCTTTGTGCTGCCAACATCTTCTGCTCCCTTCAGGAGCACTTCTCGTACAAGGCAAACCATTCTTTGTTGTAGCTTCACAGAAAAAAAAACCCGGACTTGAACCCTCTTGGTTCATGCCTCTTGGATTTGGATTTATCCTCTTTGACTGCTTTATCACGTTCTGTTGGGTTCAGCAGAAAGAAGAAGGCGTTAACTCTCATTCCCTTGTGATCCTCGCATCGTTTTCTCCTTGAAACAGGTTTTCTTCTGCAACGTACCATATCAGGTAAAATCACTCCACATGTATCCTCAGTTTCTTTGGATTCTCTTGCGGTGGGAACTTCACACGGTATGTGATTTTCGGGGGAAACACGTGAAAGCTTCTTCCCTTTATGCTCTGCGCATCTCTTTCTTCCTTTGATTGGAATTGTAGTGCAAGTAGTACCATCTTCTAGTAAGACTCCACAAACAGAAGCAGAGTCAGACTCATCAACAATGTCATCATGTCTCTCTGAAACCGGTTGAGGTCTGGACGGACTGAGTCTAAGTATAGATGGAAGAGAATTAATCTCCTTCTCAGCTGCATCAGAACTGACCTCTCTCTCTTCTGCAGAATCATACTTCTTCTCTTCAGTTCGGTTGCCACTTTTGTTATGAGCAGTAGGAAGAATTATTTGAGACAAACCCTGCTCCAGAAAGTCATGATGAGCAAAAGATGTAGTCTAAGACCGGAGCCGAGATCTAATGCTTTCAGGTTGACCAAGATTAGCCACAAGAACATCATCTTTTCGGCCATGGTCATGACCGAGCTCATACAGACCCGGGAAGGCTCCTTGGACTCTGTATCTACTACCTACACGATCTTTCTCTTTTCTGAAATTGTCCTTATCGTTGGCTCCTATCAGAATCTGTGTTCAAAGTATAAGTTTTGACATTAAAAAATGTGTGTGTTTCCAACTTCTTGACGGCAAACATGAGACTAAGTCACCTAGTTAACTACTATCCAACAAAGATACAAGTTATAATGTGATGAAGGAGATTAAAATGAGACCTTTGGACCTAAATCTCGAGAAATTAAGGAGTAGTCCGCAAAAGTCTTGCGTAATTCTGCAGTTTCTGAAATGGGTTTACGCAGAAGCATGGATCGGGCGAAACCCTGAAAAAAATCCCAGAAACATCAAATGAAATTACTCAGAATCCCTGGAGACCCAACAAAGAAACGTTGAAGAAAAGTGTTGCAGGCGTTAAAAATGGGATCTTTAAATCAAATTCCACAAATTTCCAAGAGATTTCATTCGAAATTCTGTTGATCTCGAAAGGGTTTCAATGGAATGAAAGATGGAGCAAAACCCTAACCCCAGAATCACTAAATTTCTTGAAATCCGAGAGGGATTTCTTCAGAGAGTACCTGCCAGAATGTAGTCGTCTCTCTTGAACATGGTGCCACCAAAATTCAATCTCTTCTCTTTTGTTCTCGTTTCTGATCGGACTTGAGAGTTTGTCTGCTGGCCGACTAAATTTGACCGTTAAAGATGGACTTGAGAATTTTACAGAGAACGTTTTTTCTTTTTCTTTCTCTTTTTCAAATTTGAACTCGTTACTGCTAATGAATAGTTGAAGAAACTTTTTGAGTACAGGCGTTGGAATAGTCTTAAACTCATCACCGTTGGAAATAACATCTTTATTTTAACTCATAACTTGTATGTAACTTGAGCCTATTTGAAAATAACATTTCTATTTTATGATCTATTAATGATTGTAACTAGGTTAGAGCAAAACACTCGGAGCCAAAGATCCGACCCTAAACCAAAACGAAAAAAAAGATCCGAACTCGAACGGAAACCGACAAAATTTAGTAGATCATAATTATATTTGTAATTAATCTAAATATCCAAAACTACAATTATAAACTCATTTTTTCGGATACATCAACTACTCTTAGTAGTTCGGGTAGATTTGGATATATTCGGGTAATTTACCTATAATTTTTTCCGGGTATATCAAATACTTTTTTGGGTAAATTTGATATATTTGAATATAATTGGATGAAACAATTATAATGTTTTTCGAGTATTTAAGATATTTTTGGATTTTTTGGTTACTTTGGGAGAATACGTAACCAATCCGAACGATATCCAAAAAGTTTTCGCGTTTTCACTTGTTCTCGATATAAAGACCAAAACCGACCGAAAACCGAATAAATGGTTAATACAGACTTTGAGATGTACATACATTGGTTTATAGATGAATGAATTTGTAAGACAACTAACATTAACGTGGTTTATTAGGGGATCCTCTTATAGCAAATAACTATCTAAAAACGGTGGATGTGTGTTTTAAGTTTTTAACTTACCAAGTTAATTTTGAAACCCAACACTTCCCGGTTTAACTGATACTTGATAGTGTGGCCTGCTTACCAAAGATGAGTAGATGAACTCGAAGTAAGACTATTTTTTTATCATTCTAGATTCTAGATTCATTCTTACACATCTCAGAGTATTCACCGCCAAAACAAAGCTTGGATACTGATGCGATCAATTAGATCATATTCAGCTTGCCCAATTCAATCAAAAGATGAAATTTAGACCAAAGCTACTCTACTCCTGGATTATCCTTCACCACACATTTTACTCTAATCACCTCAATTTTGCAAAAAAAAATGCAGACAATCTCAAACTTAGAAGAATCCTCAACTATGAACAACCGTTCAGCAAATCATATGACCAGAAACAAGTCCAAGAATTCATTCGACAACAAACTGGACGGACTTGCTAACTAAAGTAACATATAAGTCGCTAATGCTGACGGCCGAAGATTCTTGATCGGGTTGCCGCTGGTAAGACAGATCTTATTCCCTGGGTAATAGTCAAGATACGGCCTCCATGCGCCACAGGTCGGATGTCACCGCCTCTACCCGCCAAAGGTTGGACGTCTACACCAATCTGTGAGCAGACATGATACAGAATGTCCAAAATCAACTCTTGATCACCTCTATCAGCCACACGTGCAAAACCAGCTCTCATTTCTTCACGCAAATCCCTGATCTGAACTTAGTAGATAACAGAAAACATTACACAAGGATATGACCAAAAAATAAAAACCAAAATGTAACAAGATCGATAACGTTACCTGACTATTTGTATCAGCAGCTATATTTCTTGTCTCTTCGGCATATCTGCCCATTTCATCAAGTTTGAGCGCCGCCTCATTTATCTTTTCATCCAAATGTTTGGAAAAAGCATTCATATCTCTAAGATCAGAGCTTAACCATCTCTGCAAGGGGGAAGAATAGTTAAGAGGCTAATATTTATTACTGTCATAAAGCGAAAGAGAATTGTTACCTGAAATTTGATCCAAACAATCCTACTCCCAGCATTCCCGATGCAGCTAACACAGCCCAAAATATAGACAAATAATTGGTTTTTTCAGCACCTGTATAGATATTTATAGGACTTTGTGCATTCTGTGCTCTCAGTTCCTTCAGGAACTGATTAAAAAAGACATAATTCGGGTGATCTGAGGGAACATCAGGGTATTGCTCAAACTTTCCATCAACCGTTTTGGTTGTAAACCAAAGAATAAAGACAAGTATTGTTAGCTTGGAGGATCCTTTGGAAGAGGCAGTTGCAAGAAGGAGAGAGAGACTAGACAGTGGTGCAGGAAGCTTGAAGGCCACTGCATTGTCTTTTCTTACAGTCACCGCACTGTCTTTTCTTACAGTCACCAGAATATACTCGAGGACCAGACTGAAAATCAAAAAGATATGATTAAAGCGTTGTAGAAACATCAACATGATCAATCCAGAAGAGTGAGACAGCGAGAATTACCACTAGGGCGGCTTCTCTAGCAGGGCAGCGAGGAAGCTCGGCACAGGAAAGACCTCCAGGAGAAACATACTCCCGCTCAGACTTAATGGCGTCAATAACATCAAACCCTTTCAAGGAAAGGTTTGGAGATGCATTGTTCTCAGTAGAGAGTGTTTCATCTGCGAATCCCTGTAGCACAAAACACACTTGTTAAGATCTTAAATACTGACTGCCCTATACAAAGGGCATAATGCTTCACACTTACACTCTTTAAAGCCTGAAATGCATAGAGAAAAAAGGAAACACACTTCTAAGTTTCTATTTTCACTACCTGATTTTAACGTGAGCAAAAATCCAAGTAAATGCTAAAGAAACACAGAATATGCTAACAACACCAAATGCTAAAGAAACACAGCATTCCATTAACAAATTATGCTAACAACATCAAATCAGAGATCCCATAGTCAAATTCTGAGACAGATAGATCACAGCACAACACTAACGAAACGAGATCCCAAACAATCATCCATCCATAGACCGATAGTAGCGAAATCAAAAATAACCAAGAGAGAAAGAGAGGGGCGAGAATTTACCAGAAGGCCGGCTTCTCTAGCACCCAGGACAAGGCTGGAACAGGAAACAACTCCTAGACAAGCATCCGCTAGCTCAGTGTCAGGCTTCCCGGTTCCTGAGAAGTTGTAGAGGCTGTTCTCAAAAAAAGTGCAGTGCTTAATGCCTAAGCTGTGAGCACCTACATTAGGAACATAACGAGTTAGCATTTCCAAGAAGTGAGGAATACGGAATACAACCAGATTTAGCTAAACAGAGAGAGAAGTTAACATTTACAAGTGAGAATTACCGGATAAAATGACGGTTTCTCTCTCGCTGAATACTCTGGAAGCAGCACTTGCAAGAAGGAGAGAGAGAGTAGCCTGTGGTGCAGGAAGCTTGAAGGCCACTGCACTGAATTTTCTTACAGTCACCAGACGATATACTCGAGTACCAGCCTGAAAATCAAAAAGATATGATTAAAGCGTTGTAGAAACATCAACATGATCAATCCAGAAGAGTGAGACAGCGAGAATTACCACTAGGGCGGCTTCTCTAGCAGGGAAGAGAGGAAGCTCGAGAAAGACAGGAAGCTCGGCACAGGAAAGACCTCCAGGAGAAACATACTCCCGCTCAGACTTAATGGCGTCAATAACATCAAACCCTTTCAAGGAAAGGTTTGGAGATGCATTGTTCTCAGTAGAGAGTGTTTCATCTGCGAATCCCTGTAGCACAAAACACACTTGTTAAGATCTTAAATACTGACTGCCCTATACAAAGCTCATAATGCTTCACACTTACACTCTTTAAAGCCTGAAATGCATAGAGAAAAAAGGAAACACACTTCTAAGTTTCTATTTTCACTACATGTGAGCAAAAATCCAAGTAAATGCTAAAGAAACACAGAATTCGATTCACAAATTATGATTTTAACGTGAGCAAAAATCCAAGTAAATGCTAAAGAAACACAGCATTCCATTAACAAATTATGCTAATAACATCAAATCAGAGATTCCACAGCCAAAATTCTGAGACAGATAGATCACAACACAACACTAACGAAACGAGATCCCAAACAATCACCCGTAGACAGATAGTAGCGAAATCAAAATGTAGAAGAAACGGAGAACCAAAAATGAGAAAATCTTACCTCAATGAAGCAATCGGAGAAGAGGACGCGGATGATAGAAGGAGCGGTAACGCTGGGGCAAGATTCACAGTAGTAGTCGTAGTGGAGCGAGTATGTTCGATCGGTAAGATTCGCCGGTGAACTGGCGCCGTTGAAGAAGACGCGGATGATAGAAGGGGCAGGGAACTTGAAATCGTCGCCGGTAAGATTCGCCGGTGAAGTGGCGCCGTAGATTAAGAGAGCGATGACGGAGGTAAGTAAAACAGTGAAGCCGACGAGGAACCTCATTCTCGTTTCTCTGTTTCTCCTTCTTCGTTATGGTGAGAAAATGATTGTTTGTTATGGTGAGCAGAAGAAATCCCCAATATGCCAACGTGTATCTTGGGAGGGCTCTAATCAAGTGTTTCGCGCACACCGTACTTAGTACGTGAGACGGATCCGGCCGGATCCACATTATCACTATCCGGATCCGGCCCAAAGCAATCCGGATCCATAACCGGCTGGACACAGTAACGAGACGGCGAAGAAGAACCTTCGATGGAGATTGATTCCCTTTAAAAAGCCTTGTACATTTGACAACACCATGGAAACGGATGTGAAGAAGAAAAAGTTGGATATGGAACGAGTCTGGAAGGGGAGAGAGGGCGGTGGCGTTAGAAACTAGGTTTTTTCCCTTTGGCATCGCTTAGAAACTTAGGCTTATATATGATAGTTAGGCCCAATAACAAAATTCTGGTGGATTTTGAGTTTTTTTTTTTTTTTTGGTTTTTTTACAAATTTGTGTAGATTGTTGTTTAATTAGTTCATTCACATAATGGCACTTGCAAAGATGTAAAATATTGTTTTAGAAAAGAAAAAAAGAACTGCTCTTTTTATTTGGTCGAAAAATCAATAACTTGTATATTTTTACGAAAAAATATCACTTGCTATTAGTTTTTTTAATATAATGTAGGCAACCGAATAAAACATGCGTTAAATAAAGATACTACAAAATTATAGTGATAATATGCTGTTGACAAAAAAAAAAAAAAAAAAAAAATATGCTAGTGACTATAATTTGTTTCATAACATTCATCGCACATAATTACTTATCGAGAAAACTATATGCCATTTTAATGGCTAAAAATGAAAACTATTGATCGACGTGTTAATAAATTAAATAAATAAATAAAAAGATCATCATCACACTCTATGCACACTAAAGTTGCAAGGAAAAGTTTCTGATAGTAAGAATAATTCACACCATTTTTCTTTGTACACGAAGTCTGAGCCTGAAAAGTTAATAAACAAACCCACGATGTGATTGTGAGCACACACACGCACTAACATCAACCCCAAGTTTCACAGATTAAATATAAAATTCAGTGACCGGCACCGGCCGATGGATTTGTTAGCAACTCAAGTGACTTCTTGAGATGTTCTACAGCAGTCGAGACTTCATCAAAAGCCAAAGCTCCCACAGCGAATCTAGCAGCCTTGTGTGCCTCTGCAACCTTCTCAGGCCCTGGCTGGTAGCTGCTGTCGTAATGGTACTTCTGAGCTGGACTCGGTGCAGGATCTAGCACAGGAGCAATATTGATACGCCCGTTTGATGAGTAAGGTGGAGGAGGAGGAGCAGAGGAGAAGCTTGCGGAAGAAGGAGCAGGTGCGGAATGCGGAGAAGAATAGTAAGGTTCTGGGTTTTGGTAGTGAGAAGGGTAGTGGGGAGGAGTGGATGGGAGGCTGCTCTCACTGAAGCTAGGATAAGATTGGAAATTGGGGAGAGAATTTGGAGAAGGCTCATGGGCTGAGTAGTTTTGTGGTGGCGGCATGTGTTGTGACGGGTCTTGGTGGTATGGTTGATGACTGTAAGGATGCTGGTAAGGGGAGTCTGATGGTCCCGTGGGAGGGGGAAGGAGATCGTTGGAAGGGTAAGAAGACGGTGGTGGAGGCGGGACATCTGTGGGATAATCATTGGTAGAGGGTGTTGTGGCACTTCAGGGAAGTGATGGTGGTTGGAGTCATCATTCGAGTCATGAGATAGATCAGGCTCTGTTCTATGATGAGTTGATGTGTTGGAATCACTTGCACCGTGATCCTGTAGATAATCAACATACACAAACGATGAATCGATTAAGTTGATGCAGATGTTCTATCATAGTGTTTCGACAGTTGAAAAAAAACAAAAACCTAGAAGTACACAGGTGGGTGTGAATTTGTGTGTCTCTAGCTAGAAAGTCAGCGTTATACAAATTCTATAGACATTTATGCACTTAAACACTCTTCGATATTATTGGAGAGAATACACGCTAAGCCAATATCAAGATATTTCCAACCCACAAATTTCCGAGAAGAGAAACTTACATAGGAGCCACTAGGACGCTTGATGGGATGGGTAAATCATTATCATCATCAACAGGATCACCTGGAGTGGGCTTCCTTCCTTCTTTAATGGCTTTCCTTATGTCAGCAGCCTTCCAAGCAGCGTACTTCTGTTTCTGCTCTATCTGTCAATGGAAACCATTACATATACATATATCAATCTCCTAACACAGCTGCCTCTTAAGGTGCTAGTTTTCGGTTTGAGATGATAAGTGAATGAAAAAAATGTAAGAACTCACATCAGGAGGTACAGGGCCAAACTGGCTCAGAGTTTCAAAGAAGATTGCCGCAGCATAAAAAGTTTTGGCAGTGCCCCTGTCACAAGCACAACAAAGTTAATATGGATTATCCATGGCAAGCCTCTGTAATGGAGTCACATGTATGCAGGTATGGACAGTTATTGAACTAATATCAGTATCAAACCATGCAAAGCAACACATCAAGGCTGGAGATGCAAGTATTTTGCAAAAGCAGAACGGCTAGAAGCCAACAGGTCGAGATATGCCTTGGATGCATCCAACTAATTACTTAACCCGCTATCTTACATCTATATTCTATTTAGATAAATACATATATTAGTAGAACATGAAAGTCATCATCAGACAATGTCAGAGGAAGGTATCACCAAAAAACATGTATGCCAGATCTGCATACTTATCGTAAGTGTATGTTCTTATATGCTATTTCCAGTATTGCAAACACAATAATACTAGACAGATAGTGAATCTACAGATGCATGATAATTCGACTCATTGAGCTAGTGTTGACGGTAACCCTAACATTATTAGAAACTTACCATTGTCATATGCCATTAAATATGATAATCGAAACATAAGACATAAAAAAAATTCTTACAAGTCAGCTCTTCCTGCACGATCCTGCTTGTCTGCCTTTGCAAAGACACTTAGTGCAAACCCCTCCACATGCATATTGTCATCTGGGGACAGATTCAATGATTTCTTATCCTGGAGTTACACAAAAAAAAAATGGCCATAAGAAACTGGAACTACTATAGAACAAAGAGAATGACCAGAGATTGCAATGTACAAGTGTTCTTGCTTCACATACGTTTTCCCAATCACAAGAACCAACCTAAGCTAAACTAAGATATAAGCCTCCTTACCGAACATAGAATCTCCAGCTTTGTAACAACATAGAATAATCAAAGCCAAACATACCATGAGAATTTTTAAGAATCAGTCCTTTCAATCCTAAACAAGTAAGAAATCAAAAAAGCTGACATAAATCAGAAAAAAAAAAAACTCAGAATTTAAGGTTAATACCTTTTCAAGTTGATTAATGAGAGAGACATAAGAATCGAATTGGTGGTCTTAGTTCTCTCGCTCTGCGGAATCTTCAATCCTCGTTCCATGGCATATAGCCGACCTAATCAATCACAAAAAAGCCCACCAAAACAAGTCCAATTAAACAAAAACTAGCACAGATAGATCATGGTTCATGCTTCTGCAGCTCGTCGGCACGTTGCAGGTAAGGCAGAAGAGCCCTGGCTGGTTCGTTTTGGTTCGACATAGATTCTCTCTTCTCGAGCTTCGTAACAAAACTGGAAACGACGTCGCAGAGAGGACCTCTAAAATCCCAAACCTTCTTGGAAAACCCCTCCAAGTTCTCTAATATTTACATCTCTCCACAACTTTTCAAATAAATTAAATCACACCCAAAAGATCTTTACCTATATTACAAAATTGCCCAAATATAAATTACGTAACTCCAATTAGAACCCTGACTTTCCTTCACTAAACCGGTCACTTCACATTTAGTCAAGCCTCATGATGCTACTAAAGCTTAACTACGACATTTCTGAAAAAACAATTTGAGTCAATGAATAGTTTGCTTTGTACTATTACTTTTGATGGACAAAACTCATCAATCTTGTTGTTCATGGTGTAAACGTCAATTAAGAGAAGAAAAAAAAAAAACACTATAAACCATCATCGCTACTACTAAAAACTAACATCGTAATTAGCATAAGTAAGTTCTTACAATAAAATAAAAGAAATCGTTCTATAAAAAGAAGAAGAAAAAATAAATAAAAAACCATCAAAGTGGAGGTTGGAAGCCTTTCAACTCTAGTGCTTGTCTTGCATTGAACGTATGTAGCTTGACTTAGTTGCGCCCCAGTATCTCGAGAATCTCATCCTGAGATTATAAATTTTAACCCAAAAAAAAAAAAAAAAAAAAAAAATGTTTCAGATAATAATAAGATTAAAGAAAAGTGATTGATTAGGTGGTCGTGGTTTGTAATAAATATTGTAAATAGATTACTTGTTTGCTTTCAAGATTTCTGCACATTTCTTTAATTTCCTGAGGATCCAACCCCGTTCGTGAAGCCATGGATTTAATCTCGGTTAACTGCATGTGAACATTAGCATATTAGAAGTAAATCAAAGAAGACATTGATGGGGAGGTAATCTGATCATAAACAAGAATCACAGTTTACTTTAAAAGAATTTTGTGTAATCAGAACAAAACCCCAGGCCCGTAAAATAATTGAGAATTAAGATGATGAGTTCCTTACAGCGTAAGAGATCAATATGTATTTCTTCTTCTGCTGTTCCAAGATCAATCTACATGTCTCGATCAGCTCGTCCACCTTTTCACATGTCTTGATCTGCTCTTCCCACTTACGTTCCAAGGAAGCTATCTCCTTTTTAGTTGTCTCGATCTGCTCTTCCCACTTACGTTCCAAGGAGGCCATCTCCTTTTTAGCTGTCTCGTAAATCTGTTCCAGTTCCCAACGAATGATATTTCGAGGCGAGAAGAGAACCATGATCGCTTTAGCCACCGCGGTGTAGCTTGAGACTACCCATTCGAGAACCATATTGACGATCTCGACGTGATCGGGATGAAGTTTGAAAGAAAGAGTTTAGGTTTGAGACGGGTTCCGTGCAGAATATTGATTTTGATTTTGTACTCAATGAGCGAGTTTAATTAGGTCTATATAATAATATGTAGGGTTTGGTATGTAACACGCTCTCGTAGGTTAAATATATATATATATATACTGTATATACTTAGGGTTTGAGGCTTTATTCGACTAATGGTTTTTTTCTTTTCTTTCAAAGGGGCTTTTGTGGGTTTTAGATTTTCCAGGCTTTTATTTAATGAGATAATTTAACGAATTCTTCAGAAGCTTTTCGAAGGATAAAATCATTTATGTGTGGTTTCCATATTTTGAAGTTCGGAGAACAAATGGAAACTTGGAGGGTAAGCAATCAGGATCAAGTACAAACTATAAAGTAAGTTCATGAGTCCCTTCCCAACAAATGCTTACGTTGCAATCACATATCAAAAGCTTAGCTGCAATACATCTTAATTTCTGGCATATCATGTTTACTTCTTTAAAGTACCAATCGACAAATTTTCTCTGACATATCACGTTCTCTTCTTTAAAGCAAAACAAGGAGATCATGGATCCAGTATCACTAGCTATATAGTACATACCAACAAGGAGACGGTCAGGATCTAGTCCATGATTATGAGTAGCATTTCCCAGGGCAGCGTGGATAACCTGCATTATAATGTATTTAACTCCTTTAAGCATTGCATTAAGATAACAAGTTGTATGCTAAGTATCATTAGCTAGATGAGGAAAGTTATCAAATGTCTGGAGAGGAGATTAGACTAGACACTCCAAAAGTGTTTTTTTTTTTTAAAACTCGGAGCTCAGAGATTACCCGGTACACGGTTTGTGAAGCCCGTTTGACACGCATGCCACGGACTAGTGCTGCAACCAGGTTGACCTTCCTAGGACTCTGAAAACAAGCAAGGTTGGGCACATTATACAGCCCATATAACTAGATTGAGATGGAAACATATATTAAACGAAATGGAGCAGGATCATCTGAAAAGTACAAGTGTTCTAGGAGTTAAAGAAGACACCTGCTTCATGGACTTGAGGACAGCCTGAACTTTCTGACGCTTTGGGATAATCTTCTGCTCATCTTCTTTTCCACTACCCAACAGAGCTGGAGATGACAAAGGTGATGATACAGGCTCTTCACTCGCCTGCAATTGTCTTGAGGTAGAAATTCCCTGAAAACATAGAACTTGAGATCAGAGGAGGACGAAGCAGCATCCCATACAAATTTCATAGTTGACTTCGACATTTACAGAAGTTGCATTCGGTAACAAAGGCGAGAAACAATCTCAGTCATCGCGTACCCCAGGACTCTCCATCAATCCTTCCATGCGATAATAATTTTTGTCTCCATCTACCAAAATATGGAAAAGCCCCTCAAAGTAAGATTACGCCAGGATCACCTCGACGTTTAAAGTCAGAATGCATACTATTTTCACTAGAAGCCACACGGGATACTTGAGCTGCTACTTCGATATTACAGTGCTTCTCCATCTCATTTAGTACTGGAGCTGAAGTACAAGAGAATCGAAGATCAGAGTAGCTGAAAAGTAAACCGTATTGGAAAAGTTTCCGTTTCAGTAATCTGTCTCTTGCAGATTCTTGAAAGACTTGAGAGGAGATAATTCCAAGCTGTACAACAACAGAAAGTTGACACTAGTAAGCTCTTGGAACATTAATAACACATCAAACAAGCCATCGGCAGAAGAAAGCACTATCATTGCCTAAAGTGGGTGAAACAAGAGTCTGAAGGACTACCAGATGATAGGGATTTGAGAGAAGATTATTGTCTTCTTGCCCTGAATCATTCTCTTTGCCGCTGTTTTAGGTCAAGTGATGTACAGACCTTGGAGTTAAGACTCAATAATAAATCTTAAGAGCAGTTAAATAAATCAAAAGTTAGTACCTGTTAGCCACAAGGAGGAGTTGCCTAAAGGGCCATATATATACACCTTCCAGGTTTATTTGGGCACCACCCACATTTTGTTCATTGTCAAATACGTCATGGAAAACAACTAACACCCTGATCCATGAACGTTGTTATAAGCTCAAATATTGCATGCTACAAGATCAACGGGAATCCCAAAATACAGACTTTAGAAGCCGAACTGTTCACCTGAACATAATGCACACCAGTTATCTTTGTTGGAACTGCCACTAACTCAACGACAGAATTACCATTTCTTTTTGAAAGTCTTGGAATTTTGAAGAGCTATTTACGGAATTCAGAAACTTCCAAGTTCCTGAGATACCCACTTTTGATAAGTAGTCTAAAACATAACACAATAGACATATACCCACAACACAGTAGATAATCCTGAAGTCGCAAGAAGTTATAGAAAAAATGACGAAAGACATGCCACAAACCTTTATAGTGCCAGTAATATTCCATGCTGAAAACGGTCCTACTTCAGCTTCTTGTTTTCTACCAAAGAGCCACTGCAAGATCATGAAAAACCTCACAAATTAAACCATTACCTGGTTTAGTCTGAAGTACTAATATCTTGTTCACTTCGCACAGTCAACTAAAATTCACTAGCAATACAAACTCAAACTGCAAATGTCATTCTAGATTCTCTCACTACCCAACTAACCTTACGAAATAGTGAGAGACACAGATTGTTGATGAATTGTTGATTCTCAGGATTTCTATATATTTTCATGCTCATCGGTTTCTTAACTCGAAAATACAAATTGCAGAAGAAAATTTCTCAGTTGTTCTATCTTGCAGGTTGATACAGTGCATACACATCATCTCTACTATTTCTGTTCAGGATCCTAAAGTAACAGGACCCTCAGATTGCTAATTTGCTATGACTTAGAATGGTTCTGCAGATGATTTTCAAGTGTCAAGGCAACACAACAGAACCAGTAGACAAAAGCAGATGTGGCAAACAATGAGAAGGCGGTCCATTAAGTTATAGGGTGATGCTTACTTAAAACAAATGTGTATCAATGTTGAATATTGATGAGAGAGAAGACAGAAGTTGATAGGCTGAAAAACTACACATCTGCGTATTGACTATTGAGCTTGTTTGCAGCAGATTCTACATTATGGCAGAAAGCAACAAAGTTTATTACCGAGACATTGATGGAGAACAATGAAGCTGCTTCTTACAGAAATGCATATTCGGTTCGATTAACTTGCACCTACTTAGTTAATTCATACAACCTTATTATCTAGAGTTAAAGTATGATACGGTAAATAAGGAGAGAGAGACTAGACAGTGGTGCAGGAAGCTTGAAGGCCACTGCATTGTCTTTTCTTACAGTCACCGCACTGTCTTTTCTTACAGTCACTCGAGGACCAGCCTGAAAATGAAAAAGATATGATTAAAGCGTTGTAGAAACATCAACATGATCAATCCAGAAGAGTGAGACAGCGAGAATTACCACTAGGGCGGCTTCTCTAGCAGGGAAGAGAGGAAGCTCGAGAAAGACAGGAAGCTCGGCACAGGAAAGACCTCCAGGAGAAACATACTCCCGCTCAGACTTAATGGCGTCAATAACATCAAACCCTTTCAAGGAAAGGTTTGGAGATGCATTGTTCTCAGTAGAGAGTGTTTCATCTGCGAATCCCTGTAGCACAAAACACACTTGTTAAGATCTTAAATACTGACTGCCCTATACAAAGCTCATAATGCTTCACACTTACACTCTTTAAAGCCTGAAATGCATAGAGAAAAAAGGAAACACACTTCTAAGTTTCTATTTTCACTACATGTGAGCAAAAATCCAAGTAAATGCTAAAGAAACACAGAATTCGATTCACAAATTATGATTTTAACGTGAGCAAAAATCCAAGTAAATGCTAAAGAAACACAGCATTCCATTAACAAATTATGCTAATAACATCAAATCAGAGATTCCACAGCCAAAATTCTGAGACAGATAGATCACAACACAACACTAACGAAACGAGATCCCAAACAATCACCCGTAGACAGATAGTAGCGAAATCAAAATGTAGAAGAAACGGAGAACCAAAAATGAGAAAATCTTACCTCAATGAAGCAATCGGAGAAGAGGACGCGGATGATAGAAGGAGCGGTAACGCTGGGGCAAGATTCACAGTAGTAGTCGTAGTGGAGCGAGTATGTTCGATCGGTAAGATTCGCCGGTGAACTGGCGCCGTTGAAGAAGACGCGGATGATAGAAGGGGCAGGGAACTTGAAATCGTCGCCGGTAAGATTCGCCGGTGAAGTGGCGCCGTAGATTAAGAGAGCGATGACGGAGGTAAGTAAAACAGTGAAGCCGACGAGGAACCTCATTCTCGTTTCTCTGTTTCTCCTTCTTCGTTATGGTGAGAAAATGATTGTTTGTTATGGTGAGCAGAAGAAATCCCCAATATGCCAACGTGTATCTTGGGAGGGCTCTAATCAAGTGTTTCGCGCACACCGTACTTAGTACGTGAGACGGATCCGGCCGGATCCACATTATCACTATCCGGATCCGGCCCAAAGCAATCCGGATCCATAACCGGCTGGACACAGTAACGAGACGGCGAAGAAGAACCTTCGATGGAGATTGATTCCCTTTAAAAAGCCTTGTACATTTGACAACATCACCATGGAAACGGATGTGAAGAAGAAAAAGTTGGATATGGAACGAGTCTGGAAGGGGAGAGAGGGCGGTGGCGTTAGAAACTAGGTTTTTTCCCTTTGGCATCGCTTAGAAACTTAGGCTTATATATGATAGTTAGGCCCAATAACAAAATTCTGGTGGATTTTGAGTTTTTTTTTTTTTTTTTGGTTTTTTTACAAATTTGTGTAGATTGTTGTTTAATTAGTTCATTCACATAATGGCACTTGCAAAGATGTAAAATATTGTTTTAGAAAAGAAAAAAAGAACTGCTCTTTTTATTTTGGTCGAAAAATCAATAACTTGTATATTTTTACGAAAATATCACTTGCTATTAGTTTTTTTAATATAATGTAGGCAACCGAATAAAACATGCGTTAAATAAAAGATACTACAAAATTATAGTGATAATATGCTGTTGACAAAAATAAAATAAAAAAAAAAAAATATGCTAGTGACTATAATTTGTTTCATAACATTCATCGCACATAATTACTTATCGAGAAAACTATATGCCATTTTAATGGCTAAAAATATGAAAACTATTGATCGACGTGTTAATAAATTAAATAAATAAATAAAAAGATCATCATCACACTCTATGCACACTAAAGTTGCAAGGAAAAGTTTCTGATAGTAAGAATAATTCACACCATTTTTCTTTGTACACGAAGTCTGAGCCTGAAAAGTTAATAAACAAACCCACGATGTGATTGTGAGCACACACACGCACTAACATCAACCCCAAGTTTCACAGATTAAATATAAAATTCAGTGACCGGCACCGGCCGATGGATTTGTTAGCAACTCAAGTGACTTCTTGAGATGTTCTACAGCAGTCGAGACTTCATCAAAAGCCAAAGCTCCCACAGCGAATCTAGCAGCCTTGTGTGCCTCTGCAACCTTCTCAGGCCCTGGCTGGTAGCTGCTGTCGTAATGGTACTTCTGAGCTGGACTCGGTGCAGGATCTAGCACAGGAGCAATATTGATACGCCCGTTTGATGAGTAAGGTGGAGGAGGAGGAGCAGAGGAGAAGCTTGCGGAAGAAGGAGCAGGTGCGGAATGCGGAGAAGAATAGTAAGGTTCTGGGTTTTGGTAGTGAGAAGGGTAGTGGGGAGGAGTGGATGGGAGGCTGCTCTCACTGAAGCTAGGATAAGATTGGAAATTGGGGAGAGAATTTGGAGAAGGCTCATGGGCTGAGTAGTTTTGTGGTGGCGGCATGTGTTGTGACGGGTCTTGGTGGTATGGTTGATGACTGTAAGGATGCTGGTAAGGGGAGTCTGATGGTCCCGTGGGAGGGGGAAGGAGATCGTTGGAAGGGTAAGAAGACGGTGGTGGAGGCGGGACATCTGTGGGATAATCATTGGTAGAGGGTGTTGTGGCACTTCAGGGAAGTGATGGTGGTTGGAGTCATCATTCGAGTCATGAGATAGATCAGGCTCTGTTCTATGATGAGTTGATGTGTTGGAATCACTTGCACCGTGATCCTGTAGATAATCAACATACACAAACGATGAATCGATTAAGTTGATGCAGATGTTCTATCATAGTGTTTCGACAGTTGAAAAAAACAAAAACCTAGAAGTACACAGGTGGGTGTGAATTTGTGTGTCTCTAGCTAGAAAGTCAGCGTTATACAAATTCTATAGACATTTATGCACTTAAACACTCTTCGATATTATTGGAGAGAATACACGCTAAGCCAATATCAAGATATTTCCAACCCACAAATTTCCGAGAAGAGAAACTTACATAGGAGCCACTAGGACCGCTTGATGGGATGGGTAAATCATTATCATCATCAACAGGATCACCTGGAGTGGGCTTCCTTCCTTCTTTAATGGCTTTCCTTATGTCAGCAGCCTTCCAAGCAGCGTACTTCTGTTTCTGCTCTATCTGTCAATGGAAACCATTACATATACATATATCAATCTCCTAACACAGCTGCCTCTTAAGGTGCTAGTTTTCGGTTTGAGATGATAAGTGAATGAAAAAAATGTAAGAACTCACATCAGGAGGTACAGGGCCAAACTGGCTCAGAGTTTCAAAGAAGATTGCCGCAGCATAAAAAGTTTTGGCAGTGCCCCTGTCACAAGCACAACAAAGTTAATATGGATTATCCATGGCAAGCCTCTGTAATGGAGTCACATGTATGCAGGTATGGACAGTTATTGAACTAATATCAGTATCAAACCATGCAAAGCAACACATCAAGGCTGGAGATGCAAGTATTTTGCAAAAGCAGAACGGCTAGAAGCCAACAGGTCGAGATATGCCTTGGATGCATCCAACTAATTACTTAACCCGCTATCTTACATCTATATTCTATTTAGATAAATACATATATTAGTAGAACATGAAAGTCATCATCAGACAATGTCAGAGGAAGGTATCACCAAAAAACATGTATGCCAGATCTGCATACTTATCGTAAGTGTATGTTCTTATATGCTATTTCCAGTATTGCAAACACAATAATACTAGACAGATAGTGAATCTACAGATGCATGATAATTCGACTCATTGAGCTAGTGTTGACGGTAACCCTAACATTATTAGAAACTTACCATTGTCATATGCCATTAAATATGATAATCGAAACATAAGACATAAAAAAAATTCTTACAAGTCAGCTCTTCCTGCACGATCCTGCTTGTCTGCCTTTGCAAAGACACTTAGTGCAAACCCCTCCACATGCATATTGTCATCTGGGGACAGATTCAATGATTTCTTATCCTGGAGTTACACAAAAAAAAAATGGCCATAAGAAACTGGAACTACTATAGAACAAAGAGAATGACCAGAGATTGCAATGTACAAGTGTTCTTGCTTCACATACGTTTTCCCAATCACAAGAACCAACCTAAGCTAAACTAAGATATAAGCCTCCTTACCGAACATAGAATCTCCAGCTTTGTAACAACATAGAATAATCAAAGCCAAACATACCATGAGAATTTTTAAGAATCAGTCCTTTCAATCCTAAACAAGTAAGAAATCAAAAAAGCTGACATAAATCAGAAAAAAAAAAAACTCAGAATTTAAGGTTAATACCTTTTCAAGTTGATTAATGAGAGAGACATAAGAATCGAATTGGTGGTCTTAGTTCTCTCGCTCTGCGGAATCTTCAATCCTCGTTCCATGGCATATAGCCGACCTAATCAATCACAAAAAAGCCCACCAAAACAAGTCCAATTAAACAAAAACTAGCACAGATAGATCATGGTTCATGCTTCTGCAGCTCGTCGGCACGTTGCAGGTAAGGCAGAAGAGCCCTGGCTGGTTCGTTTTGGTTCGACATAGATTCTCTCTTCTCGAGCTTCGTAACAAAACTGGAAACGACGTCGCAGAGAGGACCTCTAAAATCCCAAACCTTCTTGGAAAACCCCTCCAAGTTCTCTAATATTTACATCTCTCCACAACTTTTCAAATAAATTAAATCACACCCAAAAGATCTTTACCTATATTACAAAATTGCCCAAATATAAATTACGTAACTCCAATTAGAACCCTGACTTTCCTTCACTAAACCGGTCACTTCACATTTAGTCAAGCCTCATGATGCTACTAAAGCTTAACTACGACATTTCTGAAAAAACAATTTGAGTCAATGAATAGTTTGCTTTGTACTATTACTTTTGATGGACAAAACTCATCAATCTTGTTGTTCATGGTGTAAACGTCAATTAAGAGAAGAAAAAAAAAAAACACTATAAACCATCATCGCTACTACTAAAAACTAACATCGTAATTAGCATAAGTAAGTTCTTACAATAAAATAAAAGAAATCGTTCTATAAAAAGAAGAAGAAAAAAATAAATAAAAAACCATCAAAGTGGAGGTTGGAAGCCTTTCAACTCTAGTGCTTGTCTTGCATTGAACGTATGTAGCTTGACTTAGTTGCGCCGCCCCAGTATCTCGAGAATCTCATCCTGAGACTATGTACATACCAGAACTTTTAAGAGTATCAGAAACCCATTTATTATTTTTAAATGGACCAAACATGTTTTATGGGTCTGATCCGTATCAGTCCAGTAAAATTCATGATATTGGGTATCATGTGACGTGGCAGGGCGTGATTGGTCGCGAAAAATTCTTTTGCCTATAGAAGAGAAAAAACAAAAACAAAAAATCATTTACTCTCTCGAGATTTTTTCTCTCCTCTCTCACGCCGATTTGCCGATTTCTTCTCATTATGGCTGAGTCTTAATAGTTTCTTGGCAAAACTCGTCTTCAAGCTGTCTTATATATTCTCCGGCGAGTGGTGCTGATAATCTCGTAGCTCCGAAGCGCCGCCGTGGCCGAAGAATTTGATGTAAGTTCTGTCCCCTCTCTGAATATCTCTTTGTCTACCTGTGTTTCCTTGTCTGAGATCAAATTTCTCGTTACTCACGATGAATCGCTAGATCTGCGTTTGACTCTGTCTCAATTCTGCTTTCCTATAATCGTATGCTACTATTTCACGCGTGTCTCGTAATCCTCTGTGTTGGTTTGAGTCTGATCCTCTGGTTTTGATGCATGATGTTCCTGTTTAAGATTGAGATTGCGAGCTTTTTTTTGTTCATGTTCGAGCATTTTGGTCAATACGTGTATGATTGTTGTAACGCTGCTTAATGATGATCAAATTCTCTGAAATTTAGCATGCGTTAGGACATAGCACAATTGGATCGGTAAAGTTTTGTTTTTTTTTCTTTAGAATTTCATGCCTTTTGAGTCTTGTTATCGTTGAAGACTTTGGTCATTGACCATGAACTTCATCACTTCTCATCTTGATCAAGCTTGCCATGGAATGTCCATTTTGGGATGTCTCAGAATATGGTTACAAATTGTACAATCTATGGATATCAAGATAAACTCGCGATTAAACATGTATTGGTTTCATGATTTTCGTGCTTGTCAATGTTGATCTGCAGAAATTGTCTTTGGTAGTATAAGTTACTTTTCGGCATTACACTTTCTTATTGGTGCAAGGTGAATTGCCAATAAGATTGAGAAGCTAGTTAGGATACCTTGTGTTCTGTCCTATCAATCTTCATATTTTAGTTCTCTCAGTCTTCTTGTTTCTTCTTTCATCTAGATTTCATTCTTAGTTACTAAACCAAAACAATGAACAGGGGAAAATCGAAAGCAAAGGGCTAAACCCGGGACTGATTGTCCTTCTTGTAATTGGAGGGTTGCTAGTGACATTCCTTGTAGGAAACTTCATCCTTTACACATACGCACAGAAGAATTTACCTCCGAGGAAGAAGAAACCGGTTTCTAAGAAGAAGATGAAGAAAGAGAAGATGAAGCAAGGCGTCCAAGTTCCTGGCGAGTAGCTTTTGTTATATGTAGTCGGGATTATCCTTTGATGATAATGACTTTGTTGGACTAGAAATTATATGACTCTTTTTACTCTTTAGTTTTTAATGTTTTCGATGTAGCATGATATTTTCTTGAGTTGACAATCTATAAGCTTTGCTGAGATAATTTCATGCCTCATGTTCAAAATATCTCTAAATTTCATAAAACCCACATTTTTTTTATGATACCCAAACCGGTCTCACCAATGCAAACATATATAGTAGAAGTATCATAAAAAATCTCAAACAATAAACAAACATTATAAATAATAATAAAAATTCCTAATGATACTATATGACCTATAACCATGCTCTGAGGGGCTCCTC